TATAAAAAATAATATTATATAAATTTTTATAATTTAAAAAATTTATTTTTTAAATTATTCAACTATTTAATATAATTTAATAATAAAATTATTAATATTAATTATTAATTATAACTAATAATTACTCTATATATAAGATAAATTAAAAGAAATATAATAAATATTATAATATTATTAAATATTAATTTATTCTAATCTATAGTTAACTATAGTTAAGAGATTAATTAATCTTAATCTAATCTAATTAGTATTAGTTAAGGAATTTTATATCTTAATCTAACTGAGGCCGGTTAGGTTAGGTTATGACTAGGTTACGGCGGTTAGGTTATGCCACTCTACTAACTGGTATGTTATAGCTAGGTTATATATATATATTATACTGTCTGTGATTAACTGACAGTTAATCTAGTTCTGTCCAAGACAGCCAACTAGATCTATTTAGACAGGTAGTAAACTAGGGTTACTTAAAATACTATCAGTAGAAAATAGTCCTAATCTACTACTTATTTAAATAGGTTTAGTTTGGTATCTTATAGTCTTATTAGATAGAACTAGATTAACTGTAATTAATCTAGTTTTAATCTTAATCTAGGTCGGTTAAAGATTTTTATATCTTAACTTAACCGGGGTCGGTTAGGTTAGGTTATGGCTAGGTTACAACGGTTAGGTTATGCCACTCTAGGTATAACTGACCCTATTAATCTAACCTAACCTGGCCAAACACCAGTCTAATTCATATATTAGTCTTAATATTAATTATATAATTCTAATATAATAAACTCTATTTTTAAAAATATAATTTAAATATATACTTACTAAGCTAAAAATTAAATAATTTTTCTAAATAATTTTAAATTATAGTTACCGGTGTATTTCTCTAGTATAAAATAGTAATCTTAGTTTTATATAGCTCAAGATTAATTGCTAAATAAAATATATTTATATATAAGAATTAAAGAAATAAGTAAGTAATTCTATAGTAATTTAATAGAGGAAGCGGTTGAGAAAGCAGTAACTAGACTTTATAAGAACTGTTGTTGCGGAGTGGCCGCTAGACGCCTCTGTATGTGGGTCCAGAACTCCAACCGAGAAAGAAAGATATCAACCTTGGTGAGAATCCCAAACCCGCTTTCACAGCTCATAATAGCTGCTGTAACGATCGATGTCAACCCGAGCGGATCCCAACTTTGGGTTAAAAATTTTCCTGGTGGGTCACAGCAAGCGGATCCTTAATCCTGTTCTATTGCGAATGCGAATCCGAATCCGAACCCGAGCCCAGGTCGACAGCGAAAATGGGCACTTTATTCACGCAAATGTTATATAAGAACTCCAAATGAACTTTGTTCAATGATCATTCCTAAGAGCCTTTTATCAAATCAAATTAACCATTTACTTTCTTTGCCACTCCCTCGTTCATCAGCATGACCACTTCTCCCAAATCACAGATCGATCCCCCGGCTAGAGAGGGCCGTGATGTTTATACAACTCTCAACTATACAATGCCTTCTGGATGCGAAGGACTAAAGCCAATCGATTCCGATATGCCCGAAGCTGAACGGCGAAATGCTCAGCGCGAGGGCCTCACGGATGTGAGAGAAGTTGTAATCAAGGACATTCGCGGGAAAGAAGATGAGTTCACCCTGAATGTCCAAGGCTTTCAATTTGTCAAGCATCAAGTTGATGCGGTTACAGATTTGAAAGACCAAAGTCAAATCAAGGAAATCCTTCAGCCCGCTACGGAAGACCTAGTTAAGAAAATGTAAGTGTGCCACGATCACCTTGGTGAAAGATGCGGCGATAAACGAATCCCATTCGCTGACTTCGTTTCACAGGACCGGTGCATCTGAAGTCATTGTCTACCTTACTCGCTTGAGGTTCGAGATTAATCAAAATGGAAACAAAATGAGCACCCCCAATTCTCCTTCTCATGGTGTTCACTCGGATATCACGCATGCGTCTTGCCGGCCTGTTCTGAAGGATATCCTAACAGAAGACGGAATGGCGCGGCTGATGAGCTGTCCCTTTGTTGTTGTCAATGTCTGGAGGCCAATAAAGCCAATTCAAAGGGATCCTCTTGCAGTTTGTGATTGGAGGTCTGTTGACCCAGCGTCGGACATTTTTCCAGATCGTAGGGTCATTGCCGGGCAGGTTTTCGAATTTGGGGTACCAATTTTCAACGAAAAACATGAATGGTATTATTTGAGTGATCAGCAGCCAGATGAACCGCTCATTTTCAAGCAGTTGAGTAGTGATGTTGCCTCCAGCGTAACGTTGCTCCACTCTGCCTTTGTTGATCCCAAGCATGTCGATGATCCTCCACGCGAAAGTATTGAAATGAAATGTTTTGCGTTTTTCACCGAGCAGACCAATCAAGTGCTTGGCTAAGTGAGAACAGCATTGGGAGATATATGGTACTTAACAATGCCTCAGTGAGTGCCGCAATCTAATACATTGAAAGAACATTTTTTGACTCTATACCCTAGTGCGTGGTCCACCGAGCCCTTGTTGTGGACCAAGGCTCGATCAAGTAAACTATAGAGCTTCATCTACGGAATACATTCTGTATGGAAGCAGATGGATTTCTGATCGATCTCATGTTCATCTTGTATATAAACCCCCAGATTTATAATGGGCGAAAAACAATCAAGCTTCCCTTGAATTACAACAACGTTAAATAATAACGAAATCAAACCAAATCAAACCATGAAGGCCTTACCAGTTAGTTAGAGATCAGGAAGCGTTCGAGATAGTCGATTGAGTCGTCCATAGAATTGAGTATCTATCAAAATGGCACTCGGTCCACAGTGGGCTACGTATTTGTGTAGCTGGTACAGCATCATTCTGCCCTTCTTTCCCCCCCAGTAATCACAACATATAGAAAGTCCGTGCGGTAGGTGGGGACATGCGACAGGTGATCAAGTAAGGTATGAGGTGTTGTAGTTAGCCAAAAAGAAAAGATTACGCTGCTCACATTACAAACGATCCCGAAAGATAAGTTTACAAAACCGGCATGCAGTTCACAAATACTTCAACCAGAGAGCGCCTTGCGGAGATTGTTGTGTTCCATCTGACCTTCCTCCAAATCTGGTATGAAAATCTGGTAGGCCTCAGGAGATGCCTTGCTCGCTAGAAGTTCCTCCCATTGGTCTTTCTCCTGGACTGCCTGTTCCACTACTCGTTGTGTATATTCCGCCCCATAGGGAACGCGCTTAATGATGTACGTCTATATCAAGTTAGATGTGTACTCCAGTGTTGGGTAAAGCGCTATCAACCATATCTTCTTGTTGACAGAATGTAAGACTTCCGTAAAAGCTCTCATAAAACGGATCACATGAGCCCGTCCAGAGTTTTCTTCATCCACTGTGAAATTTTGCATAGACTTTGCCATGGATCGAGACTCTCGAGATCCTGAGAGAAGACTGTACCCATCATTCTGTATAGCCAACATATCTGCAAAAGCACCGTTGAAATCATCGATTCGCGTACGGAGGGCATGCAATTCTTCTATATGGGACTGAACTGCCTCAAGTGCTTCGGCGCTGGACATGAAGGATGCTTTAGCAAAGCATTGAGATGCAAAGGCCATGAGAACAATCAAGGTAGTCTTGGAGAACATGATGATGAATAGCGCTTTGAGTCAGAATAATGTGCCTGGATTTCCCAGGAGAGGGACCTCTGCGAGGGCTTTTATATATCGTGTCTTGCCTCTGTACGACTAAGGCTAGGGGCCTACTCCGCAAAAGGTATGTTCTGCCATCTTCTCCAGTAATCTCCCTAGCGCACATTCTTATAGCCTGCAATAGAAAATGATGAAGTGACCCAAATGCGTCCCCCCTTGCTACCACACAGCAGATCTTTGGTTCCCAGTATTACTGTTCCATACTCAAAAGTACGAACAGGTACAGGATTGAGTTTGTGGCTGGCATACTACTGGTTTCCGGGGCCACGTCAACCCTGGTACGCGTCGTAGGCGCTAGCGCAGTACCAATGAGTTTGCTCAACACCTTATACTTCTTGATGTGGATTCAAGATTGAGCTCCCAGCTTGACGCATCTAGACCCTGGAACTAACGTATAAGTTTTGGACAGAGGTGTTCAAGTATGGTGCTGAAGGACTATCTCACATTGGTGTTAGTTTGAAGAAGCGTGTCAATACTCTTCCATTTAGAAGTCTACTCATATCCTGAACCCCCAAAAGTCAACATATTTTATTCAGATACGTTCTACACCCATGCCTTCACATATCGTATATCCAATCCTGCGCAAAATACCATCACCTGAGATACGAGTGAATCGTCACTACTTCAGGTATTTAGAGCGCATGGTTTCGAATAAGAGTTCACCCAACCCCTCAATAGTGGCTGCCTTGGTAATCGCTACCAGTGATAGGTCCAATCTCAGAAAGCGGCGGGTCCAGTTTCGAATTTCGACAGTCATAAGAGAGTCGATAGGCATGGTAGCCACCTGGTGGTAGGTCTGACCACGCGCAAAAGCCGAATACTCTTGGATAGCTTTGACAGTCTCGACTACAAACTGCTTCTTTTGGGAAAGATCATTCAGTATCTCAGGTTCTTTCTCAAGAGTAGCAAGCATATTACGGAGACGAGCGGCACCTTCCAACTTGTCATGAGATGGCCCTTGTTGCAAGTCCAGTTTATCGTAGAAACGGAAACGTGCATCTTGTCCCCACAAGGGGCGAACCGAAGGGTCAGCAAGAGACTTTGTGCTACTCATCCCAACAATCAGATTGCCTTCTATACGGAGTGGCTCAGGAGGCTTTGCGCTTTGTCTGGGGCTTGAATGGAAGATGGCAATCTCAAATGCATCCATAACCTCTTGCTCACTCAACAGTCGGACTGATCCTGAGCGCATTCTCTCGCGAAGCTTGATATCCTGCGTTGCTAAGAATCCCACATCATCAACTCCTCCTAAATTCACCACAGAGGCTGGAAGTCCCTTTTGTCGGCGATACTGGGCGAATGAAGACACAAATGCATTCGCTGCTGAGTAGTTCGCCTGTCCAGCATTGCCCATAACGCCCGTTATGGAGCCACAAACAACGAAGAAGTCAAGGTTGGCGTTGCACTCTGTTAATGTATGATGAAGATTCCACGTGCCTGTGACCTTGGCGGAAAGAGTATCTTGCCAGTCCGTATGGCTCATGTCAGGTATGAATTGGTCCTTTCCTAGTCAGTATTTCTATTATTAATATAAGGATTAATTGTCGGAACTGCTTACCCGAACTACCATAGAAAGCTGAAGGACTCCCGCAACTGGCAAAGGGCAACCATGGATTGCAGCCCGGACATCGCCCATAACAGCCACGTCTCCTGTCATCGTGATAGCTGTACAGCCCTGGACCTCGAGCTCACGAATGAACGACCTGTCCTTGCTGGTCTCTCCCGCTGATCGGGATAGGAAAATCAGGTTTCGAGCACCTCGCTCCACCATCCAGGAAGCCATTATACGTCCAATACCCCCAAGGCCACCAACAAGAATGTAGGATGCATTGGGTGACAGCCTTACTTGGTATCGAAATCTTGCCATCAGACCCGTTCGGGATGTGCCTGGCATCTTCACCACAAGTTTCCCCAAATGCCGACCCTGCTGTAGGGAGCGAAATGCCTCGGGAGTGTCAGTGCCGGATACCACCGCTAGGGGGCGAATTGGGGATATCTTCCCTTCTTCGTATAGTCGCAGTGCTTGTCGGAAGAGTCTATCGAACGGTCAGTCATATTGCGATACAAATGAGACCGTCGGCAGCCTTAAAATTTGAATACCTGTCAGTAAACCCCGGCTTTTCGCTAAGGCGAATTAGGTCGACGCCGAAAAATGCCCGGTTGCTCCCAAATGGCTTTAGACCTATTGTACCATGCTCCATGAAGTCTCTCTTGCCAATTTCTATCATCTTGCCAAATTCGGCAACACATTTCCAAGACGCCTGAAGAAGCTCTCCAGCCAGTGAATTGAGGACAATGTCAGCACCTTGGCCATGAGTCTCCTGCATCAGCTTGGGAAGAAAGGACGTGTCACGTGAGCTAAATACTTGCTGTCGAGCCAAGCCGAAATTATCTATTAGATACTGTGTTTTCTGCTCACTGCCGACGGTGGCGTAGATCTCAAGCGACGAATAAATTAGTGTTCCGCACTCCAAAAGCTGTGTTATTTCCTTACCCTTGCTCCAACCATCTGACATAGCTGCACGGCAGCTAGACCGACTCCCCCACAAGCCGCATGGATCAGCACAGACTAGGTACCTATGTCAGCGGTGCATTTTTCACTCGTGGCATATAGCCTACCTGTCCTTTCTCCAATCTCCCAATATCCATGAGGCAGTAAAGTGCTGTAATGTAAACTACAAGTATAGAAGCGGCATCTTCTAATGAAAGCGATGGCGGCAGAAGTGCACATTTGCTTGTAAAGACAACAGCATGTGTGCGAAACACTCCAGGGCCGCTTATTACGACTCTATCTCCCGGCTGGAATTGCTTAACACCAGGACCGCATTTTCGTACAATACCGCTGGCCTCCATTCCCAATTCGTTTTTGTTTGACATAATGCCTAATGCGACCATGACATCCTATAGGAGTTAGCTGTTTTTGAAGTTTCTCTAGAAGTCTCTTCTGCATACGCGAAAGTTCAGTCCAACAAACTTCACCTCAATTTCGACCTCGTCTTTACCGGACTAGATCTACCTAATATCATTAGGGGTTGGCACACATACCGATATCATTCTGTGATGGATGCGATGCAAGATTGTCGGGTTTCATTTTGCTACCTGAGTTAATCTACAAGCGCACAGCTGCCATATACATACTTCAAATCTTGCAATCGGCTCCGGGTTATACAATAGTCCCATTAGCTTGACGATCCGACATGAGAGGAAATGAGTAAGTATAATATTTCTGATTGTGATGATATGAAACTATCAACAGAGAGATTCTAAGATACAATATGAACTCAACGGCTATGGCTGGAACATTGCATGGATTTGTTCTAGACACTATATGTCTGGAAATTGATCCCGCGCCCTGTGGGCCCACGTATAGTTCCATAGTATCTATATCTCAGAATTTCTGCTGCTAGCTGTATAATGGTGAATATAAGGAAGATGGTCTTGTTGAACGGTACTGGAAAACGGCGATGATATGCTGGGCCCTCAGATGCGCTTGTCGATTTGCGTCTACATAGCTAACCCCCACCTCTGGCATACGGAAGATATATAAAGAGGTGCTAGGGGCCCCCAACCTTCCCGGAGCTTTCCTACCTATCTAACAACATAGTATTCTTTCCTCCCTTTCCTTGACACCTATCCCAACCACCAAAATGACTACCGAATCCTTGCACATCATTGCTAAAGATCCGTTCATTAGGGATGACGCCGCATCCAGTTTAGTCGCTGTCTCGCATTCCCGAAGTTCCCGACCCTAGACATCACTGCGAGTGGCCAGCGTCACGGTGCGATCAATGATCTCCCGGAGAGTTATGCTCTAGATCATCAGATTGCACTCGCGTATGGGTCGACCATGGCATTGGAGACTACCGGTGCCCGACTCCGTGTGGCCAAATGCAACCAACGGCTAGTGTTTACCGATACACGTCGACGTGTATTGAAAAAAGGCATGAGACTCTGCCCAGAAGACAAGAATATGGTGTGTTAACCGTCTGAGGACCTCGTCGCTTCTACCAACAACAGGCAAAGAATGAGCGTTGTTGGAATTCATTTGCTTCTTTCACAGAAATGTGTCTGCCAATCCCCATACCCACTGCCCACCACTTAGTCAGCTTCTCGCTTTAGTTACCGGTTCAACTCTGAATGTCAACGTAGCATGATATAGCAGTAATTTGGAACTTTACTGATAATAAATCATAAGTATGATAGTCAAACGCGAGGCGCGCATCCCACAGTTTGCCGGCAACCGTGAGCACTGCCAGACATCTCAATCACCACCATCCTTCCCTAGATCCGTCTGCGTATATTTCCTTCTTTCATCGCCTGGACCGTATGCTACGGTAGAGGGGAAGGTATCTTCAACATCTATTAAATACCCAGTTACACCTACAGAGGCCGCATATCTCCATAAGGAATAGGTACATATCGGATATACAAACCAGACCCTCGACCGAGGACTAGGCGTGATGACTCCAGCATCGGGTGCAGCAAACCCTCAACACATGCTCAATCCCTCGTTCATCCAACAGGGTTCTCCATTCGACCAGCCTAATCGCACCTTCGTGAGTCTCCATTCAGGTTGCAGCGATGTTGACGTCATTGAGTTGGATCACGACCGGCCGGTCGCGTTTATGAGTCACTGGGTATTATCTCCAAACGGACGACAGCTCTCCCATTTCAAGCCATTTTCGCATCCGAATGTGCTCGCGATCAAAGAAGTTTCCCACAGAATGATCACGTGTCCTTCCTCCATGGTGAGTGGGGTTCTCATTGTGTCAGCTCCGTCGTTTGTCTCCAGGTTAGCCTGGTTGGTGAGATCGAGGTAGCAACCGTTGGCAAAGGAGTAGGAGACCACTGGGTCGCACCGCGTCTAGTCGTGGCGTGCCAGCTAAATGCTTACAGGTTCCCTCGGGATTAGCGTACGTGCATGAGATCTTGAAAATCGGCCACGCGGACTTGACGCTCTGCAGTGCATTGATCTTGGAGGAGGGGATTATCAGAATCAGTAATGTCGCAACGATGGACAACCCGCTGCGGGCATGGTGTTAACTTCCCTTCCAGATGGAACTCGCAAGAGTCTCACCCGACAACACCATTCAGTCACAATCGGTAAGGACACTCTGGCGGTCAGTTGGATTGCGTCTAGTCTTCTGGGACTAGGTCATGCTGCTGGAGTGCGTGGTACTATAGGTCTTTTCGCGGAGGACTTCGCATGTGTACTCCCAGGCACGACTATCGAGGGCTTGTCGAAGGTGAGATAGATTATTTGGCTCTCTCTGACATCGATACTAGCACCTGTGTCTAAGGATATGTAGTGCATCATATTGTCTCGGCCCTACGAATATACTATGTGCTATTGTACGAGATCGGACGCCAGCCCAATCCTGATATTGCTCGGATGTGAAGGATCACTGGATGGTATTTACAAATAACATAACTGTGAGATAATGCAGCAGTGTTCCATGCTTAGGGATCACCACTATTGTTGATGCCGGGTCGGGTTCGGGGCGGGCCCAGCGGGGAGCCAGATCAACTCTAGGTTCGACTGGTAAGAAACTTTACGAGCTGTCCAGCATCGAGGAGATTGATTGATTTCTAAAAGACGATTTATTTTTAATAATGATAACTCGAAGTGGTTTGTCTTCGGAGACATATGGCCACTTACAAATGGTGTTGGAGTATTTTGGATAGGGGGAAAGATTGTTCCGATTGGCCTAATGACTTACTTCAGTATGAGGAAGACTCCTGGTCGGATGAATGAAGCTGTGCCATTACAAATTATGTGCTAGAACGTCAGAGCTGATGCATTCAAATAGAGCCACTATGCCATATGGGACAAATATCAATCCAGCTCCATTTGTCTTATCTATCCGAGCCGAACTCTCTACTTTGACGCAATGTCTTCCTTGAACGAGCTCCTCAAACTCGCAAGCCCAGTTCGCGCGCATGCCTTGAAAACCTTTAGCGTAACTGCACATCCGGACGAGGTGCTCCAAATCCCCTCGCGGGAAGAAGGGCGCTTTATTCGAATCCATGCCTACAACACACTCAATCAGGATACTCCGAGTTCAATTCTCGTGAATTTCCATGGGAGCGGATTCGTGAACCCTTTATATGGGAGTGATGATGAGTTTTGTAATTTTATTGCCGAGAAAACTGGACTTATGGTTCTCGATTGCGCCTATCGACTCGCACCAGAACACAAATTTCCTGCTGCAGGGCAGGGGGAATAGTGTCTCTGGTTCTCAGCTCGGTGATCTTACCTCCAGGAACATTCAAAAATGTGCTTGCCGCCTATCCTCCAACAGACATGGCCCAAAGTTCCGCAGACAAGATTGCCCCTGATACATCCATAGACAGTGCTCCCATTAAGCTACTTGATACATTTATAAGATGCTATTAGTCAAACCCTGAAGACGTGAAGAGTAACCTTGCTTCACCAGCCGTAATACCAGCAGAGAGGTTCTCAGATAGAACCTTTCTCGTTACTGCGGCTTGTGATCAGCTCTGTCTTGAGAGAGAGACGCTTGGATATAGAATCAAAGATATGACAAGCACGCATGTCAAGATGTACAGGTATGACGGTTGTGGGCATACTTTTGACAAGGCATATGAGACAGGATCGGTCCAGGAACGAGTGATGAATGACCTCTACGACAAGATGGCCGTATTTTTAATGGAATAATTATTTTGTGTCCGTTGGTTGTATAGCATAAGGTTATTTATCAATAATTCATGCTTGAGGTGTGCCATATGTTCACTATACTTTTTATTTTACTTATCAGGTCTATTGATTGTATGGGCCGAAGTCATGGACCTTTAGCCCAGAGACTAGGAATCTAGATTACCTGACACAATATCTTTTATACAAGGTAATTAAATCCTTCTACTAAGAGTAATAGAATAACAAGTAGGCTGCTAAGCTAGTACTAATATACTTAGCATCCGGTCCACCTATAGTACAAATACTTCCGTCGGACAGATATGTACTATAAACACTCGGATCCACTCCATATGTAGCCACATTCAATTGACTATCGGTCAGATAGGTTACTAGAATAGAATAGTACCAGATAGAATGCTAAATGAGCAGCTAAAAGAAGACACTTATTACCTCTAAGCTTAGGAGCCCTTCGTAGACCTTACCGAGCCTTGAATGAATCCTGTATTTATCTACATTACTGTAAAATTCAAAACACTAGTTCAAAGCTCACTAACCGAATCTATATACTGATAGATATCCTGTTGGGGAGAGTATACTTCTACTACTGAGCAGTTTCGTCACTGTTATAGACTGAGTAATACTATACACTGTATCAATCGAATCCTGTTTTTCCGTACGCATGCTTATACGGTGTACCAATTGGAATTCTCTGGTTCGATTTGACAGGAGGTTGGTGTTGTTGTTATGCAGTTGTAAACTCGCTATTGATGTGTTTATTTATAATTAAATGAGCTCGCTCCCTTTTGTGAAAGCACTTTGCGTGATAGATAGCCAGTGATTCTCATTATATCATGTCCATAAATGATGTAGCACGATCATATCCAGAAAAACATGATTGGGGTCAAGTTAGGCTGAGTTTCCCTCATGGTTGGACTTTGAAGCGGCATGCCGCTCAGGCTTGTTGTCCAACTGGTGTTGGACATTACGAAGCCCCTTTCATCCTTGCCACCGGACCGCTCATTCTAGGTAACGCCAGAGCAAAGTACGCTAAAATACGGTACACAACTCCAATGACAATCATAAGCCTAACAATTGGGAAAGGGAGTTAATTAAGCTTCATTTGCGAGGGAGCAGAGTGTACTCACCCAATATCAAACCCTGTTCTCCCAGTGATATACCCGGTGAAACGGGCAGCTGCATCAGTGTCATACAGGTACGAGAATGGCATAACGTGCTCGCTAAACCAAGCTTCAGAATACCAAGTCTGAGACAGTAAGGTCAGTCCATGAATGTGTCTGTGTAGGAGGGCCAAACCAACATACTCCCGGACAAATGTACCACAGCCAGTCCATTTTCCAATACTTAACTTGATCCAAACGAGGGCCAGACCCGTCTAGGACCCCTGCAGTAAGGCTTGTGAGCATTGCTAACAATAAAGCATCTTGTCGTGGAGCCAAGGACGCAACGAGGGAAGCTAGTCCATAGATGCCTGCTAAAGCCTTAGCCAAAGGTAAAAAGCCTTCAAGGGACTGGCAGGACTAACAGAAGAAATATGCTGCATTTATCAAAAACAAAATATGGACCGGAATGACGGTGGCTGCCAGCACTTTGAAAAATGCTGTGAAATGAAGAGTCGATATCAAGATACGGGGCAATGTACACAAGTCTTTGCCGATGAAGTATGCACTAGCGGAATGTCCCGAATGGACTTCGTGGTGGAATACCATCTCTTTAAGTCTCAGTCAGTTCCATCGTTCACGCCCTTGATTGGTAGTAGTCATACTCTCTTCTGCAATCGTTTTAATTCCAGCTGGTGCAGCTGCGAGGCCTAACGGATAGCAAAGCTAGGGTTAGTTGTAAAGACTCTTGATATGGTTTGCCTTGCCAAGTGTTGATGCCGAAAGTTCGCTTACCAATTGCAAGGCTAGAGAGAAGGCCCGCTGTGGGTACGCTCTTGTAATCCACCGCGCTGGACAGGAGCTCAAATGGTTCCCTAAAGTAGCCTTGAAAAACATGACCTTTCGATTCATATATGGAAAGGCCGATGAGGACACCGCAACATGAGGCTGTAACAATCTCCAACAGAATACCAAAAAGCTGGTTCTTCTGCTGTTTGGCTCCACAACGAATATATGTCAGCACCTGGATTAACCATGCCGCCCGATCATCAGGAGGGGTGAAAACAGGCCCAGCCATGACTGGTGCAGCCACTGCAGGAGAATGTTCCGTAAAGCAACCTTCAGCGTTTGGCAGGACTCCTGCTAACGCTTGCTTTTCTTCGAACCATGGGATATCAGACCCCACCTGTCTGGTTTTGATGAGGTCCATAACAGTGTCAGCAGGATTGTCGTTTTTGGGTAACGTGGAGCCAATCGACTCAAAATAGTCCGTAATACCCGTCTGTGGTCCAACGTAAATTGGTCTTCCAGAGACCAAAAGCATCACATCATCTAGAAGATCAAAGACATCTCTTCGAGGTTGATGAATGGCGCAAATAACTGTAATACCAAGACCAGAAAGATCTTTCAGCAGGCCCATTACGGACAACGCGGTTGTGGCATCCAAACCCGATGTTGGCTCATCGAGTATGATTGTGGACGGCAGTGCAACGATTTCTCTGCCGAGCGACACGCGCTTGCGCTCTCCTCCAGATATTCCTCTATTCTCTGGAGACCCTACTTGCTGGTCTCTTATATGATCTAACCCGAGATATGTGATAATATTGTCCACGTGCATCATTATGTCGCGAGTCTCGTACGTCCCCCCCAGTCGAATGGTCGCGGTATGCAGGATGTTTTCCCAAACAGTGAGATTCGGGAAGACGATGTCATCCTGTGGGACAAAGCTAATACAATGGCGGTATCTGCTTGTCATCAGAAACACGTATCAGCGGCCAAACGCCGTTGACAAAGAATATAGCCCAGCTTACCGCCCGATATTTCCATCGTCGCCATAATTTTCACTAATGTTGAGGCACCCAAAGCTTTGCTTTTCCATCCCCGAGAGAATGCGCAGGAGGGTTGCTAGCAGATGTCAGTACTGGGCGCTTTTTTGGTCCTGTAGGGCAGAATGACATACATTTGCCAGCCCCCGACGGCCCCATTATACCAAACATGTGGCCTTTTGGTATCTGACAAGCCACTCCCTGCAAGACAGGGTGTGGCACAGCCTGCTTTGAAAAGCATAAATCACGGAGCTGGAAGCCCAATCCAAGCTCGCCTTGTTGTCTGTCTCTCGACATCGTCCCAAAGTGAGGAAGTTCTCGAACAATGGATCCCTGTTCGTACGCGGCATCCAGAGTAGGGGGGTTACCCGCCGTTCCCTCGGCACACTCAACGTCTCCTTGGTCCGGGGAGATCCTTGCCGATGGGACAGTATTAGGAGCGTGCAGCCCTTTCTTATGTTTCCATGCTTTCGTACCAAATCCCAGAACGGCCCAGAGCAAATACAGTGAGGCCAATATTACAAATCCAATGACTGAGATTTCCCGAGAACTCCCTTCTGCACATATTGAAAGAGCTGTACAGCGTTTTGGATGATAACTTCCTAGGGGACAATAGGAGCCTGGCGGGCATCGGATTTGCTCTTGACTTCGGGGTGGACAGTAATAGCCCGGCGTGCAGACAACGGGTTCGAACGAACCCTGCTGTTCATGACAGATATTCTCCGATGGCTGCAGGCGAATCGTCTGGCAGCCTTTTGTAGGTGGGCAGAATTCTGGTGGTTTCTCTGTACTTGTATTGTGGCCTTATTGGATCAGCGCCTTCGTCAGCATTCAGCATCTGAGGCTTCCGGGCTCCTCCTGCCATATGGCGAGTCGGTAACATGAGACTCTGGACGCAGCGGGAAGACAGCTTCTTGGAGACTTCGATAGAAGATCAAGCAAGCCTGCAACACTTACAAATGAATCCTAAATTGCAAACAGCTGCGTCCGCGAGAACCACAGGGTTCTGGCCCGACAAGCACGCACCTTCGGCCATTTAGCCGACTAGGGGTGGATCACAGCAATAAAAAAAATAAAGAGATCATGGAGTTTTAAGACTAGGAATTGACTGAGTTATGTATGCATATTACCATTAAAGTTGATTCAATTACATACAATAGGGTTTGCTGAGTACCGGCTGTAATGGTCAGTTGTTTTCGTCATGGCATCTTTACCTAGAGCATCTTGCCCCGGATCAGAAGCAATTCACATTCAGGTAACTGTGGCTTGTAACTGTCTAGGTTGCTCACTTGATTGAATTTTGTACCAGCAAGCCGGTCACGGATACTACGTGCTATTAAACGCTTCATAATAGACCTAGGTCTTGGGACTTAAGTAGCTTTTGGTGTCTCTGGGCTCTTTCCGCCAAAGCCTTGCTTTCGCAGCTTCCACCCTTTATGTGCTGCATTTCTGCGGAAGGGATTGAAAATAAAAAGTAAAAATGAAAACAACAAAACAAAACATTCCACTGACCAGTCCGGTTAAATTTACGCTCACTTCCACGGTTATAGCTGGTAAGTTTGGTTCCAGAATGAAGCGTCAAACTCTTAATATACTACATCCCTTCCTTGAACATTCCTACGTGTCAATGCATTTGGAATCTGCCGTCCACTCGTGGGAGCGATCGGCAATGCATTTTCCCGTTGTATACCTTTTTCGATAAAGAAACACGAAACCATTGATATCCCACTTCCCCTTCCACATTCCTGGGACTTGGCATCTGCCATCCACTTGTAGGAGCGATCTGGAATGCATTTTCCAGTCGCACCCGTCCAGCAAGTTGCGTTGCATGACTATGTCACACCTTTCGCGAGTGTGTCAAAACGGATAGACTATACTGGTATCGTCCCGGAACGGGGGACTTCAGTTATTGGGCCATTGGAATGACCCAAGAGAGGCACTTTGTGATTATGTTTCGAGGCTGGACCTTTCAGTGCTCCTTCACTACTTTTATGACCAAATGCCCACATATCTAGCCCCGGTACCACGTCCTTGTCTGTCTTCACAGGGCTACGAGTCTCAAAATGAGCAACCTATACGATGCTGGTTGCAGGACACTGTTGGCGCATGGAACGAAGACTACTTCTGACCCCACGTTCCGGGAATGTTTGGTACTGACCAGAATCACCAGCTCTGCTGGCTTGTTGACCTCGATTCTCGTGATCTTGTTTGTCATCATGCACCGTTATGTGTTTACGGTCTATTACCTGACTAGAGTATACGGGAAGAGCTATGCGCTCCTGGAGCCCCGTCAACAGAGCCGACTCCGCTGTCATCATTTGGACCTGTTCGCAAAGGTGATCTCGTTGGCTTTCATCGCCCAACCGGTCTTCATGGTGCTCTGGCGAGGACGCTCCTGGTCTGATTTTTTCTCTACGAAATCCGACTTTACTTTTGGTGATTCGGCATCTGTTGGCACTGCTACGATTGCCGCCGCCTTCCTCTTCGAGATAGCTTCATCGGAAACGCTCGGCCTGTTACCCTTTGTCCATCATGTCGGATCTATTTTAACCATACAAGGGTATTATTGGTGGTCGGTCGCCCAACCTATCGATATGGACGCGGGTGTAGGCAAAGCCAAAACCATGGCTAATATCTGTTTATTGTGGGGTACGCTGTCTCGGTCACATTGTGTATAACATTCTCATATGAAGGACGTAACTAACACTCGATTAGCCTTTTTCGCCTGTATCTTTGGTTCTATCAAGTCTGTTGGTAATATAATGCGACGATGCTTTGTGTTGAAACGTGTGACCCTTCGTCAGCTCTGCCTCGGTGTCTTCTGCATCGACCTGATCGTGGCTGCCTTGGAAGCTTTTTCGGTACTATATGCAGTGCTGGGCGGGTGGAGTGAAATACCAAGTGGTGGGCAATGGGTCATACTCTTCCTACAAACAGGATTTTCGGTGAGCAAGTGGGAACATATACGCCCGTTCTATGCCATTTACAGGCGAGGAAGATCATAGCCTTCTGCTCGAATTCGCCCCATTGCTCTCTTGTTTTGGTCCTGGGCAATTTCATGAAGCAACTGGCGTTGTTGAATACAAAACGACTGTCACTCGTGGAACACCTTAGAGGGGGTTGAATATGACAATGGGAGACGATAATACTCGAGGGACGGGGCTATACTTCGTGCCCCATTTTCCATACTCATCTGAGAGCGGTACTGTCAGGTTTAACCTATTCCAGAGATCATATGGCTCAGAGGCGAGAGTAGTTAGATTTACTCAAGCGGCGTGAATCCTGGGATCTTGCGACCGATGGAAGTCTCTCAATGGTCTGTCCCAAATGTCTGATTAGTCTAACTGGATGTATCTAATCTAAAGCACGTGTATAATAGTATTAACGCATCAAATAGACTCAATTGGTGCCGTTATTCCTAGGTCTCATGATCTGACGGTATCTCACGAGGAGTACGGTCCAGTGAGTGGCCAACACGGGATCTCGCTCCATCAGATTCCCACCTTTACGGCCCCGTCATAAGAATTGCACCCTTCCTAATCTTCCTGGCCAGATACTCCGCCTGAGCATCTGCAGGCACTCCCACAGATTCGGATCTCTCCATGCCATTGCCTAACTCCGAGGGAAGATGCAGCAACGTGGCGACACGCAGGAACTGGTTGCAGATCCACTCCCGCTGTCCAGGTCTCAGAAGTCTCGCTATCATCTCGCCGTGATCTTCCGAGAAGAGCGTCGACAAACGGCTCAGCGGATGCATGGCGCGCCACGGCCCCTGCGCAATGACATGGCGCCTGTGGTCGTCTCTCGAGATACCCGCCGCGAGACGATCCCTGTCCAGTCGTGTCCGATCTTCTAATGAGTGATGGCTGGGAAGCAGAACCATCGGGTCAGTAAAGTCTGCGAGACTGGACCGGCGGGTTCGGTTGCCAAGGTAGAAGGGTATGCTGTAGCACACGCTGTCGACCACTTCTTGGAGTCTTTGTTCGCAGTTGACGAAATCTGTGGGGTCACCAAAAGACTGGCCGTGTGCGAAACCAAAGCGACCCAGATCGGAGAATACATTGAGGGAGCCGAGTGTGATCTTGGCCAGCAAGAGGCGTTGGAAGCGGCAGAGATTCCAAATGCTGGCAATTTGGCAGGAAGGATACACGTCACAGCTAGACTGGTAGGTGGGAATGGACGAATCAATATCCTGACCACTTATCAGCCTGACCGGTCTCCAGTAATTCGGTACGTTTTCCGCCCACGCCAGAAGCTCTGCATCAACTCTCTTTGCATCGGCTATCCACTCCTCCAAAACGCACGTCAACGACGTTTTGAAGCAACCGTGTGTCACAAACTGCGTGTAGCTGGCCTGTAATTCGGCAACGGATGCCCCTATGGCATCGAGTGCTGAACTGGGGTTTTCTGGCACGGCCATCATATCCTTGCTCCTAATGCATGAGTATGGGATACTCCTCACTGGCTTTTTCTGACGGATGGCGGTCGAAACTTCGGTGTGTAGCATAAACTTTCGTAAGTAGGCGCGCACCATGCTGTCCATGTTGTTTGGGCCCATAACCGAGAGCAAAGATGCTGCGCCATTGTGGTGCGTGCTTGAGACCCGGCGAAGATCATATATCGCAGCGGCATTCTCGTAAGTCTGGAGCGTCAGCACCGCCAACACAGTTGCCGGCTTGCCACGTTGGATGGGATCCTGTATTGCAGTCCGAAGGCGTCTGATGGCCCGGAAATAAGACTTTCGTGGTGATCGGAAGCTGCTGGCGTCTTGCCGCCACATGGACAAGACCTCCGAAGCCAGCGCCGACACAGCGATCGAAAGCGCCGATTCTTCCCGCTCCGAGAAATAGGCTGGTATAAGCAGTTCGAAGAACCCGCGCGTGGATCCCATATCGCGGCCCATGCTGGCGTAATGGCCGAGATAGAACTGCACGGCGGTGTCGGGCTCAGAGGGCCGCCGCAAGGTCAAGGCCCTCACGAACCCCCGGTCCTGGACATCAGACTCAGACCACCGACCCGGACTAGTCGCCACCTTCGCGACATCACGGCTGTGAGAATTGACATCTTGGTTGAGGTTGGTGTAGAACCGGCGGTTCTGGTCTTTGAACTTCAATTTGGCATCCTTGGACCGGTTGTAGCCTCCACAGCGCAGCTTCAGACGCTGGCACGCTCGGCACTCGGGCTTCGCCTCGTCACATTTCACGCGGCGTTGCTTGCATGTCACGCAACCTCCAGAGCGCCCGTGGTTGACCATTGCGACCGCGACGATGCCAAAAAGAGAGATCCCGTTGCGATGGGTGGATGAAGTTAATAAGCTTGCTATGGCTCGGGGGTACAGAGGTAGGGTGCGAAAGCATCGCGCTGATCCCTGTGGGTACGTTCGTATATTGTTGCCTTCTACGCTTCTGCAAATTTTCCCAGCTCTATACGAAATATAATAGGGCCTAAGACGGGCGGTGATCCTTTTGCCACAGTGGTTCTGACAGTTCCACACGCGATCTTCAGGCAGCCTACCTCAAGTATCGTTCATGCAGCACAGCCGGCTGACAGCAGGAAGCTGTGGGCAGGACCAATGAGAGAAGCCCGTCGCAAAACGCATACTCGATGCGGTTTAGCCTGGGAAGGACCCAACTACGTAGTATGTTCCCTTTCAGGTGACTCGTATAAGAGAACGATGGTAGTATAAGAAGAGATGCAAGAGATGCAAGACAAGAGGCGAGAGCAATCAATGAGAAACAAAACAAATAATTCACAGGTGACAAAGTCGTCGTAATTTCCTTAACGCTTTCTTTTGACTCAGAATCGCCATGAAATTACATTCCTCCGCCTACACCGGCCCAATTTTGGCCGCTCTGCTGCATGCCGGTGTAGCATGTGCGGCGTACAGCACCGCTAACAGCACCATGCTGCTGTTGAGCAATGACTCAACAATGAACTTCGACTTGCTTACTCCTCTCGGCGAGTCCATCACCGGAGGAGGCGACGTCGGGCCCATTCTTGGCGCTGCCAAAGAGATCCAAGCCGGAAACATGACGTCCTTCAGTCAGGTCTTCTATAAGCTCGCCAACGACACTAAGGCTCAGGCGGAAGACCCGGAAAATGCCTACGATCCTCTCAATGTCAGGGACACGTGGTTCTCTGCGGCGTCGTATTTCCGCAGGGCTGACGCCTACCTCCACGGCAACTGGAGCAATCCGCTCATCAACAGCCTGTGGGCCGAGCAGACGGAGGCGTTCAACGAGGGGATAGCTGCTTTGCCGATTCCTGGCAAGCGCATCCGCATTCCGGCGACCAAGGGCAACTTCACCGTCGAGGCCATCTGGTACTCTGCTTTGGAGAGTCAGCATGACAAGCGGCCGACATTGATCATCGGGAACGGCTTCGACGCTGCGCAGGAGGACTCTTACCACAACTTCGTCGCGCCCGCCCTGGCCCGAGGATGGAATTGTATCACCTACGAAGGTCCGGGACAACCAAGTGTGCGCCGTAACCAGAACCTTGGTTTCATCCCCGATTGGGAGAAAGTCGCCATCCCCGTCGTGGATCATGTTCTCTCGGAGCAGAAGCACATCGTAGACACTGATCGTCTTGTCCTCCTTGGCAACTCCTTCGGCGGCTACCTGGCTGCCCGTGTTGCAGCCTTCGAGCCCCGTTTGTCCGCAGCAGTCTTTATTGACGGCGTCTGGGACAACTACGCGGCATACACAAGGGAATTACCATCTGAGATGCTCGAAATCTACAGGGCGGGCAACTACACACAATTCGACGACGCCGTCCTCTCAGCTCGAGAAGCCGGGAGGCTCCCCACCGGCGCCGCCTGGGGCATCGACCAAGGCATGTGGGCGTTCCACACACACTCGCCCTCTGATTTCTTTACTCAGGTCAAGCAGTACAACGTACAGTCTTTCATTGACAAAATCAAGATGCCTGTGTTTGTCGGTGATGCCGAGCTGGAGAGCAGCTACGTTGGACAGCCGAAGCGGGTGGCGGATGCGCTGGGCCATTGGGCTACCCTGCATACCTTCAAGGGGGTTGCTGGATTTCATTGCCAAACTGCTGCTGGACAGGAACTTTCGAGGACGATCCATACGTGGTTGAACAAGACTTTAGGCAAGGCCGGCCATGGCCACTGAGATTACTGCTTAGCGGTAATGGCAGTTGCCCCAGGTAACGATTGGTCAGCGCCGATAGAGATTTCGATCGCTTCAGCTTTCACCTCCCGACGCGATCCGTTCTATTTGAATCCTAATACATTTCTGCTTAGAATGCCGAGCTTCCTTAATCTCCCTAGAACTGCGTATCCGGATCCTTCAAGCCCCTTGGCCTACAACGCTTCGCAGGCGCACCGCTGAGCGGCCGAATAGATCGGAGTATGCCGAAAGAGCCTGTACATCAATGATCAGCACAATGAAGGTGCTCAACTTCTGGGAGCTCAATAGAATACCTAGACATAGTCTGTAAACTTGCTTTCTTTTTGACTCGGCCGTATTGGCTGTCCAAACAACTATACTCTTACCCAAATGTTAAAGTCTAGACTGCGCCATATCCTTAGTATATGTAAATATCTGTATATCCTCTGTGTTAATTGTCTATATAATGTTAAAGCAATATTCATTATCCCACTCATGACGCTGGACCTGATATGTAACAATGCGCAGATCGAATCTACATTTCATCTTCCGCCGCTTGCATTCCCAGCAACTGTGGGTGACTTTGCGCACCTTTCTCCGTTTCGCTTGCCAGTAGTCATCAGGTGACGGTGCAACATGCGGAACAGACATTGCACCGTGGAAGTGGAGGGAAAGGATAGAACGATCTCATGATGTTGCAATTGGGGGTCGAAGAGGGAGGGGAGACCCCGTGATCCCGATTCGTTTGTCCCAACCAAAGATAACGTGCGACTCGCCGTTCCAACTCCATATTGTATGTAAGGGTATATACTAGATATCCTATCCATTCAAGTCCAATCAGTGAAAAAGGTCAAATATTAGAACAAACCCGTGTTAATGCGCGAGATTCTAATCACCCTTAATTACCACGGTAATATAAATTATGATGGACCCGAACATGAACGATCGTGATACGACAGCTCGACTAATAGTTCGAACATCGGAATACCAGAGAATAGGTATTTACAGTACCCAAGGATGTATATCTCTGCAATTTGTAGGTAGCAGGTTGTAGTATTTCGTATCTACTATGTGTTTTAGGCCACCACTCTTCTAAGGTCCGCCTCGTCTAGCTTTTCTTTCTCCCCTGTATTGTATGATATGGACCTCCGAGGATTCCCAATGAGCTGACACCACCCAGGGTCACTGCCTGCTGTGGGACATACACCCATGAATCTACACAATCCAATCCCATGAGCCAGCCAGAGTTCAGCGCCTCACGCTCGTCGGTCGAAGACTCGAACTCGACCAAAGAAGCACGAAACACCCTCCGCCGTACTCCTATATAACCAATTCCTAGTTACTATGTGTCCATCATAACCTCAGGATAGATATTCGACATCCGCTGCGGAAATGCGAGGGAGGCGGTTCCTCGATATTTTGGTTGGTATTGTAGTAGTTCGTTAGGGCTGAGAAAAGGTGACCATCCTGGTAAGGGTCAGCGAGAACAAATAATATCATTATACAAGTAGGGCCGGTGAGGGAGGAGGGAGGCCCCGCAATCCACCACTATCCCCTTCTCTCAAATACAGCAATGTTCATTGACACCAAATACTAGCTTCCTCGCATCTTTCCCGTCTCACTGCCAGATAAGAAATCGGTCACATTCGCATGGGATTCTCTGGTTATGCCAGTTCCATGTGGATATATATAATTGGGTCATTATTTCCCCCCCCACCCGAGAAACCGAAATTGTTTCATAGAGTCAATAGTATATCGCTTTTCTGCTTAAACCTTAGAATCTTGTATTGTTGAGTGTCCATTATTTTGAGGAATGGACTTCAACCATTATACCGTTTTCCTGTTCGGAGACGTCACAGCTCCATGGGTGGACGGCACTGATTCTGATTATGTCTACAGTCAAGCCGCAGCCAAACCATAGTTTTAGTCATTCCTCAATAGCCTCTTCTCAGTCCTCTTCCTGCGGTGTGGCCCGCATCAACCGCCCTACCTCTACTGTCGTCAGCGGGACTGCTGAGGATTTGGCACAATTTCAAGAAACCATGGGCGGGTGCGGGATGTAAAGGTTCGCGCGAAGACGTTGTCCATCCCATTGGCATTTCACTCGTTCCAGATCGATCCAATACCACCGGACTATACATCTATTGCAGCAAGCGTGACGTATTCAGCCCTCAAGATTCCTGTAGCATCAACTCTGCTCGGTTCTTCGACGCTCCTGACTGGAAGAGGCAATAAGGTCGCAGATCGGGCTGGGGGATAATAGTATATTAGGGCTGTGGGTAGGGGGGCGGAGCAATCTCGGCATCTCCCCTCGACATCATCATTCTGCGCTTTGCTCTAGGCCTCAGGGCGCTTAAGTAACAGGATTGAGAACCTTCTGCGCAATAGGACTAAACAGATCGGGTAATATACGAGGCATTGCCAAGACCAGAGAGATCGTGGAGAAGTAGCAAGGCAAGGATTGGCGGGGACAAGGTCCCACTATCAGCCATCCAGTGTGGACCCGAAATGCCAGCCTTGGAGAGCGCTGGGTTTCGCCAAATCAGGTAATATACGGAACAGGGACAACCTATCAAGAAACGAGAGATCCTTAGCCTCGAGATCGCTGTTCGGAAGGAAGCTTGGCGCGCCCGCAGCCAGCAAAGCAAGGTCTTGCACGATATTTCGATGCCCGATCCTCAGCAAGGATGGGGCGGAATGCCAAGTAGTCTTGGCTTTGAAGTAGTTATTTAAAGACCGCGCAGCAACATCCGATTCCACTACGATCTATACCTTCTAGCCCAATATCCCTTTCACTTTGTTATTATAGTTGTGTTTTCCAAGGCGATGTCGACCTTAATTTCTTCGTATTTTCTTGGCCTTGTGGCCTACGCGGCCGCGGCACCGTTGGCCTCAGGAGCTTCACCCCATGGCACTCGAGTCTCCGGCGAGATCCAGTGGGAACCCTGCGGGGACCTCGGAGTGAACGGGACAACGGAACTCGAATGCGGTAGCCTAACTGTTCCTCTCGATTACACTGAGCCTGATTCTGGGGAGACGCTGGACCTCGAGATCCTAAGGGTTCCTGCGCCAAACCAGCCCTCGAAGGGAAGCGTGTTCTTCAACTTTGGTGGCCCGGGAGCCAGCGGTGTCGCTGAGATGTCCTTGCTGGGGTCCGTCTTGAGCGTGTATGTTTAACCTATCTCATGGCATGATCCCACATGAAATGCTCACCTAGACGGGATAGATTTGTCGGAGGCTCATACGATGTCGTCAATGTGGTACCTCGGTGAGTGTGAAACATGTCGAATCCTGGAGGGTTATAACAAGGCCAACGACGCACAACAGAGGAACCGGCAACACACTCCCATTCTCCTGCTATGAAGATGAAGAGGAGCGAATCGCATCTCACTTGCGGGCCCCTTTTGCTACAAACGCCTCCGATACTTCCCTCGGAGAGGTCTGGGCGGAGGTGAAGAACAAAGCAGACGCGTGCGTTCACACGCAGAACGAGACGGGGACCCTTATCGGAACGGCGTTCACGGCTCGGGACATAATGAACGTGGTCGATGCCCTGGAGGAAGACGGCAAGCTGAGATGGTGGGGTAAGTAGTAGCCGCTTGGACAGGATTTAAACCACGGTCTTTACTGATGATATATATCTAGGCCAGTCTTACGGAACGCTCCTCGGATCGACGCTCATTGCCATGTTCCCGGATAAGATCGACAAAGCTGTCCTGGATGGTGTCATGGACGCGCATGAGTACTACCATATGTACGTTGTCCTTTATTGCTGCGCTTGAGGCGATGGTTATGCGCCATTCCAGCTAATATATAGCTTTCTTATAGCAATGTGGACCAGGTGGCGGATGCCGACAGCGCCTTTTCCGGGTTCTGCTCCCAGTGCGTCGCTAACAAGGATATGTGCCCTATCGCCGGCGACCGTACTGCCGAAGAGCTTGAGGAAGATATTTACGCGGCGATGGAGGCGCTGAAGTCCGAGCCCATCCCCGTGTCCGTGGAAGGTAAAGGATACATCGTCGACTACGCAGCCATCAAGGGGACAATCTACCACGCCCTCTACTTCCCTGCAACGTGGCCCGCACTCGCTGAGAAGCTGGACGTGATGTTTTCGGGAAACATCACGGGCATTCTTCCTGACCTCGTGGCCCCCCTGCCGGTCACCCGGGACGCGGAAGCTCTCCAGGGGATCAAGTGTAGTGACAATCAGGACCCTCTAGAGACTCTTGCGGATGCACTCCCAGGTGTGGAGGCGCGGGCGGAGCTGAGCAAGATTGGCGGCGATCTCGCCGACTTTAGTGCTCTGCAATGTGCGCGCTGGGGAATGCCGGCAAAGGAGCAGTACACCGGCGACTTCAAGGCCAAGACTAAGAACCCGGTCCTCCTGGTCAGCACCCAGCACGACCCCATCACGCCACTTGTCTCGGCCAAGAAAATGAGTGAGGGTTTTGAGGGAAGCGTGGTGCTGGAACAGGAAGGTTACGGAGTAAGTTTTAACCCCCCTTTCGAGTTCTTAATTCCAACGTGGGCCTTCTAACGGGGCGTACCTAGCACACGATAACTTCGCAATGCTCTGTGTGTACTATTAAGGCGATAATGGCGTACTTTAATGATGGCACTCTGCCCGAGCCCGATACGGTTTGCGAAGTTGATGCAGTGCCCTTTTCCGGAGATAATGGGCTGGCAGCTGTCCTGGAAGCGATTGGCAACAGCGCTATAGAGGAATGAGTAGCACAGAGTAGAGTCCAACGTGGTCTGACTGAACGCAGCAGGTGCATCGATAATGGAGTTATACTTGTAAGGGCTCGTTCGGTGCAGTACAATCTATCCAACGGGAGACCTGCGGAGTACTGTAGGCCAACATTGCTCAAGATATACGGTACTAGGGAGCTAGGAGATATTTAGGATTCTGTATAAGAATACATTAGGGTTGGAGCAGAATAGATTGCTAAAGGATATACATCCTCTACGTAATAGGAATCTATTTATAACACATTGGGTCATGATTTATTCTGTAAAGAACCTACTCGAGCGCCGGGTCGGGGGCGGGTCTTAGATTTTAGACCCGAACCGACCCAATGCCAACTCTAGGGCACACGTTGCCGCATCTTCCGTGGGCGTCCGGTAACGATATGGACAGATCAGAATCACTGGGAGGGCCTGTAGATACGAAGGTGGAGAACCTGGCGAGAGAAATTAGGAAGGGCGCAATTCTTATCACTACTGTCACCTGTGGGAAGTCACCATGCCAAAGGCTCCGGGTTTCTTCTTAGGTGGCCTCACTTAGGCCGTTTAGCTTCGGCAGTTTGTCTTAACCCGACTGGGTCATGATATCATTGCGTTCAACCTTTCCATGAGGCGCGTTGTTGCATGAGCGGACTTCCATGACATAAAATCAATCTCCTATAGCGTGTTTGACCCAATTTGGTTATTTAGGCTAGTTCAAATACTGGTCCAAGTAGTAACGATTCGCTATCAAGTAGCACTCTAATACAATCCGATAGGTAATAAGTGCAATAGAGAAGGCCCTCCAGGGGTGATTACCAATGTGGAGCCTTGGGTTCCAGTAGTCGGCGAACTTGGCATTGAGATGCCAATGACAAGCATTCCAAGCGATCTGCGGTGGGCCAGAGTTGCTCCATGTTCAGACGACGTTATATTATATATAATTGGCCGCTGCTCCTGCATCTTAACTGCATGTTTACGGTGGCGCTCTACCTTTCGTTCTTCCCCATAACATGTAACACTAAGCTCCAGATCTTCGGGCAACATTTTATCATGGCTCTCACAGATATCTTAGATTTTCACATGCTGCCGTATATTGTATTCACAGCTGGACTGGCAACCGTGTTCTTGCTTTGTTTCCTGCCCCAGGCTGCTAATCAGTCCGCAGCAAGCTATCCGTCTTCGCCTCCCGAGAATGAGGTTGTCAGTTTACGTGTCTACCCCGTAAAATCTTGTCGTGGATTGGAAGTCAAGTCTGCTCAGCTCTTCCGAACTGGTCTAGACTTGGACCGCAACTGGATGTTTATCTCAGCGGAAACACGCGAATTTTTGACTATCCGGACAAATCCTAACATGACGCTTCTTCAAACTGCTTTCGACGCCGACACGGATCAACTTTCCATCTTTACCAAACAGCATGAGGTCCAAATACCCGCCCATCCAACACCCGAATGGCTTCAGAATAACACGAAAATAACGAACGTCCGCATTTGGGACCAGGAAACAGATGCCTGGGAATACCACACCTCTTTGACCCAGCCATTTTCGGACTTTCTAGATATGGACGTTCGCCTGGTGTACAAGGGTCCGACACCTCGTGTGCTTCGTGGCTGCGGAGCCCCTAAGTTCCTGGGGCGTACTGAGTCTACTAAGTTTGCTGACATGATGCCTATTCAGGTTGCTTCCATGTCCAGTTTGGGGGAGCTTAACGAACGGCTTGTTCGAGCGGGGGAAAGTGAGGTTGATATCGAGCGTTTTCGGCCAAATATTATTATTCGGGGTGGCATGCCCTGGGATGAGGACCAGTGGAAGGCTTTGCGGATAACCAATAGTTATGAAAGACCGCTGGATCTAGACGTGGTATGCCGCTGTCTGCGATGCCATGTACCGAGTGTGGACCCCGATACAGCCGACACGCACCCGCGACAGCCCTGGAATCAACTTATGAAATATCGGCGAATTGACCCAGGACTCAAGTATAAACCAGCCTTTGGGATGCTCTGTGTACCACGTGCGGAAGGTCTGGTTGAAGTGGGAATGAAGCTCAACGTCACAGCTATGACTGACAACCATTTCTTCATTAACCGATGAAGTGATTCGATCAGTCTAGAAAGTACTAATTTTCTTTCTCGCTCCATTGTCAGCTTATTGGCTATGGCTATGGGGCAGGATCGACTACCTTTGCAGACTGGCTGGAGAGATCGCAATTCCATATAGCCATCTGCAGACACTATTAGCATAGCAGATTTTACCGAGGCTGGGGATCTAAAGCCATATTCGTGGCTTTTCGCCTTTTGTTCCTACTTTGGCTGCTCCTATTTTTTCACCAGTAGACACCTCTGTAGGTCATCAACAGCTTCCACCAAGACCCGTCTCAATGTCTCAAGGTCATTCGCAACTTAGCAGGTAATAGTAGCCCCTTCAGTACATTGCCCAACAGCGACGCCAACCTAGATGGATAATCCTTACTGTAATACAGCAAATAATGCCAACGGCGTAACAGCAGATCACGAAGGTAATAAGACCCCAGTATTCTCCGTTGCATCTAGCCAGGATCTCCCCGGCGACTGGGATACCGATAAGTGTTCTTCGCGGCGATACAATGTCAGATCATATGCATAGAGTATACAGCATCATATAAAACCATGTGACAATGGAGAACTTACCCAAAACTTACAATTGTATACGAGCTGGCGTAATACATGCCATAATTCTCGACCTTGCATAACTGAGATATGCAGACCGGTGTCAAGCTGATGTTGCTGCCGCTTGCAAAACCAAAGACCAAACAATAGATAATCAAGACAGGGGTCTTATGCCCGCCTGGAAGCCACAGACAAGCATTAGACACGAAACATAATATAACCATGCAGGTCAGTGTGTTATATCGGCCCCATACATCAGCGAAATAGCCGGGGATAATTCGTCCAAAGAATGAACCAGCATTCAGAATGGCAAGTAATTGATATGAAAGTTCTCTGGATACCCCGTGGGCTAATCCATAGGATGAAATATAACTCATTGGAATGAAAAGCCCTAATTCAATGAAAAACACGCCGATCGTTGTAATCGTGAATTTAGGGTCTCGAAATATTCGAAGATCAGGTAACATATGCGAAGCTGGCTTCTTTGGTAGTCGTGATCGGATTAGGAGATTAGTGAGGATAATCGTTACCAAGCAGATTAAGGCCACCACCCGAGTGGCCCAAGCCCAGCCGATGATGGGAAACAACTTCTCCAATACTAGTGGGAATACAATCCCCCCAGCAGAGCCCCCTGTTGTAGCTATACCTGTTGCAATGCCGCGATTTTTGTTGAAGAAATGTCCAATGGCAGAAACCGAGGGCGTAAGAATTAGAGAAGCTGCCAACCCTCCAGCAACACCAATTGAGAGCATAAAATGCCAGTATTCCTGGCAGAATCCAAGCGTCACCGTCATTACCATAACTAACATTGATCCTACGATAACCAGAAGCCGCGGGCCTTTGGTATCGAATATTGGACCGATTTGAGCACCACAAAAGAAAGTGAGAAATGCATACATGCCAAAAGTCCAGCCAGTAGTTCCAATGCTGTAATCCTTCAGCTGATGGTTTTCAACATAAGCTTGAAGCGTACCCATGCTGTTGATAAGCCCAAAGGTAGAGAAAAGGCCGAACCAACCCCCAACGACCACAAGCCATGCCCTTAGGCCACCTTCTGGATAGTCATTCTCGTCAGTACCACTCGTCGAACGGGTTATGGATGTTCTGTATGTGGGTGGATTAGGATTGGTTTCAGGCGACACAGCGTTTCTTTGGCAGTCTTGCATATCATTGTAGGTACATTGAGCCGATAGCGGATCCTTTTGGGCGGGCCCTGTGTGGGAAGAAACTGGTACACTATCGGTAAGCTGTTTTTCGAAAGGTGCAGGGTGCTGGGAGTCGGGTTGGGAAGCGGAATCATCGTGGGATGCTGAATGCATCGTGGTTGGCTTTGGTATTGAAGAACTCGATTAAACCGATGATGTATGATATCGACGGGATGGTGCGTAGACGACATACAAAACGGAGAAGTGTCATACAGAGAAAGATATGATAGGGACGCGTTTGTTGATTTGCTTTGCCTTTCCGACTTTTAGTCCAGCGAAGCTTGAAGTATAGAAAGCCAGGTCCTAAAGGGGGCGCATGAACATCAGGGGCCGTGCTCAAATTGCAAATGCAGACATATAATTATATTGGGGTCACAGTTTTCTTTTACTGTAGGGCACTCAGCCTTTAATGGAATTTTAGCCATCAGTTACCCGGCGGCATTAGGCTGAGCATGCTGCACGCATGACAAAGCCCTAACAAGGGACAGCAGCAGGATATGCACCGGCTATATAAGCCCCGGTATCAGACCATGGCAGATTTGGGGACGCGGCCATCGGATCGACGCCTTGGACGGCGATACCAAGTCTTGTCGGGTCGGAAGGGGGGGAAGAATAGATTAGTCGGTGACCATTAAATAAGTATTATCATTATTATTTTTATCATACTGAGCCACCAAGGCGCGTATCTGCCTACCAACAAATACACATTGAAGGTGTTTATTCATCAACCAGGGGCACTCAAGTCTAATATATACCTTCCTTGTATTTTTGCCTCCGGCTAGTTCTTGTTTGCGCTACTGTGTGGCTGCTTCATGACCCATACGCGGTTTTAATTTGCCTTCAAATTCAAATAATGGGCTAGTTGGGTCCCTTTCAAACCAGTCCAGCCTACAAAATTGATAGACACTCTACTCCTATGTTATACCTTGCTCATTAGATCCGCGTCTAATGGCCAGAGCAAACTCCAGGAATAGTTATAATAGTGAGCAGATAATAAATCGACGCCCAGAATCACCGCTTCCGCAGTGTTTACTTTTCCCATCTCCCATGAAGCTTGGAATTATGAGTTCAAATTTCAAACGATACCAGCGGAGGTCGGGTGAACCGAGGATCGATATAAGTGGATTGCTTCAGACCCACATTCTAGTCGGGCCAATTATTTATCCATAGATTCTCAGCAAAATTCAAACATTGCCGCGAATAATGTGGAGCCTCATGATCCACTAGTCGGCGAAGTGGCATCCAGTCAAACGTCAAATATAGACATCCGAGCCCAAGAGTGGGCCATGGAGGCCTCTAGCGGTCACTCCGCAACAACAGTTCTCCTGATTAAAGTCTATTAACTGCTTTCGCAACTACTTCCCTTGTTAAATTACTAGATAGGATGTAATAAATACCAATATCTACTGTGAAGCGGTCGTAGGTCGTCACACCGCTACTAGCCTACTATGTCGAATCCGGTAGGTCAGATCCCGATGATCACCGTGTACGTCTCGTCTCGCAAGGCATTCCTACACTACCGGCTGGCATGGCCCATGAAAGAATGGGAAACTTGTCTGGTTGAACTAACTATGGCAGCTGGCTTGTCTAATATACGCATGGCATAGGAGCACGTGATGGGTAGAGGAGACGTAAGGGTCGCCCGACTACACACTTACTAGGAGATACTACAAGCCGGAGGTATGGGATGCTAATAGGGTACAGTCTTGATTCCCTGTAGAATCGGAAAAGCGGAGTTTCAGCCGAAAAGGCCCACTTTCCGATTTACATTGTCTCTCAGAATATACGTAGCCTAAGAGTCTGCGAGGGGAAACTGAAGTCCCTGGCCAGCTCCACCAAAATTCGAGAGACCCACCAAATTCCGATTTCAGAACGCCTCAACTATATAGTAAAAACCCTTCATGTGGTACCAGGCTTCAATCTCAGTGATTAGATCTCTGGTTTTCGCAACCCTATAGATCAACTCCGGATATATATATCCGTGGTATACTCGAGTCCAGGCGAAGCTAGCCAGCTGAATCCAAAAGCTACCATAAGGTGCTCTTGGTTAAACTCTCTGATACAACATGTTTCTGGATCAAGAATGAAGCTGATTACCTGGTGGTCTCCAAATTGGCTTAATGATGACAGCCCCTCATTCAAAACTGCAAGTAGCTCGCCATTTATGATCCCAGCGAGAGTTTAAATGCTCAAGCCTCTGAGGATCTTCAGAGGTCATCAATCCGCCCAGCCAAAAGCGCTGCGCAATATCAATTACAATAGTCACAACCTTGGGAACCAGGTCAAATAGCAGACACTCTGGGGGGCATTACTCTGTCAGCGAAGTTCCCCCTCTCTTCTGGTTCATGTGGGCCACCTGGGAATGTGGGCACGACACATCCAAAAAGATAGCCATCACAGTGCAGATCTTTAGGAGAGAGCGATGATGGACATAGAAGCTGTGTGGATCCAATAAGCCCATCTTTCTTATTCAATAACCCAACATCATATCAAGACTACACACCGGTGCCTGTTTTGGTCTTATTCCATCGCAAGTGTAGCAATCAAGACCGCCTCCTGCGGCCATAAAATTTTCATTTGCAACCGCAGCAGCGGCCTTTGTCTTCACGACAGGGGTTGCCGCATTACCTGTCCCCTCATTAATTGAAAAGAGCGTGTCTACCAACCGTTCGCGGGAATGCATGACGACCATTGTGGATCAGGTTCTGGCTTCAATACTGGCCCACAGCCCAGACAGATTGCCGCTCGCATCAGTCTATTATGCAACCGAAAGCTCTGACCCATCAGCACTCGGTATGATGACCCTTTGGCGTACCATTACAAGCGCCGGTTCCCCTAGCCTGCTCGCGGTTGATACGACATCCGGCTCAGCGTACTTTGCGCTGGATATTAGCCAAGGAGTGATTTGGCGCAATCTGTCTTGTGACTCGAATCAAGTTAGTCGAGAATCAAATCACTCAGCTCGGGCTATACGTGACCCACTCTCATGGGGTCCACGGATTCTCTTTCTCGGCTGAGGAGCTGCCAGACATCTATGAGAGATGGATGTCACCGCCAGCGGATCAACAGAATGGGACTCCGGTGACATTATAGAAGCTCAGCGCAACAACATTCAACCCAAACGGCACATTATCGGTTACCATCGCGGATGACTGCCAATTCACCGAAGAGGGCTGGCGCATGATTGAACCGGGTCCAGAAAGGAATGGTTCGACGACTCCGCGTTGGAGTGTAGCTGGTGTCAGGATCGCCTCGCTGATAAAATAAAAATGCACGACTGAATCTGGTTGTTGACGAGCAGTGTGGAATCTTCGTTACCGGGGCTATCACTCCTGGGAAGGTTTACTCCTATGGCGATATCTTAGCCTTTATTCCGGACGATATGCAAGACGCACAGGAAGGGCAAGACAAATGGCTAGCAAAGACACTAGCTTCTGGCGATCTGTCGCTGTTGTCCCCGACTGCAGCTACCGGTGAAACGTACAAGTACTTCAGTACTACAACAGTACACTCCAGGTTCAGCTGATCATGCACCATCGCAGTGGCCCGGATATGAAGTCTGTCTGGACTGCTGGGATTCTAATGACGTGGAGATTACTATTTGTGTAGCTGCTCGTGAGTCGATCCGGTCGATTGAGGTCCTGCAATCACTCATTGCATCTCTACTACTACTGCTACTACTACTACTCTAGAAACGCTTTTGATAAATGTTTACCACTGCCTGCACGTATTTTGGGTCCTCCCAAATAATAGAAGTAACATGCTCTAGTAGGTGATAGCTGCCGGCGGAGGCATTTATTGATATTCTTGACTTGGTCTACTCTCATCATACCATCCGCAACGACCTAGAGCGTAATAAAACCAGACAATGGAGGTTCCTGCCCATGATAGCAGTATATACGAGCAAGAAGTCAATCCGCTTCTATATTATATGGGGTACACGATGTGGTTTGGTGCATCAGTTTGGTTCAGTATTCATGAGTTCGATGTTGGGATGTTGCGAGTCAGAGTATAGTCAATGGTAGACAGTACAGGTCACATGGGAGTTATTGTTGTTCTCCACCAAGGCAATCTCTGAGAGCAACCAGAAATTCAGCTACAAGGTCATGAGAAGACCCCAGACTCTCCAAACTGCCCAGATTCGGACTCCTGTGGGTCCCAGCTTCTGATTGATCTCAGATTTCGGTGGGTCCAGGTTTCGCAAGCCTTTTTTACACCTTCGTCCGTGGCATTGATGATTCAATATCCAGTTAGCGGTGCTCGGCAAAGTACGCCCGACCTCCGCACGCTTTTTATTACAATCTCGCATCTTGCTGAGGTGAATAAACTTTCTTACGTGGCCTAGCTGGTATAATCCAATCACTCTGTGGGGCAAGTTGATGTAGGGAAACCCTTATATTGCCGGGAGGGCTGTAGGGATAATCATTTGACCTGTGGAAACAGCGGGGGTTTGGGTGCCTCGGGCCAGAATCCTGCTGCTGGATAAAAGATCTAGCATCAGTGATGATCTGCTTACAGGCAAAGCCGCATCCTACACAGTTTTCTAGCTGAATCAATCTCCGATCGATGGAATACTAACATCTTTGTTTTATCTTCCTTATACGTCGAATTCTAGGGAGATAGTGTCAATATCGCTGTTTCGTTGAATGGTGTTAACCAGCCGAGGTTCCAGCTAGCCCAACCGAGGGGGCGCAAGTGGGGTTTGCTCGACGGCTTTCTAGCTAAGGCCCGCCTACGGTAGGATTTATATAACTTGATACACCATTGCAGGGCGTTTGAAATATATGTGGGAGTAATACACACCGAGACCAGCATCATGGCCGGCGCCGTCAGACAACCCATTGACGTAGTTGCCCTAGAAAACTATATTGGGCAACACGACCTGGGAATCTCGCGTCCAGTTGATCTCAAGCAGGTACCTAATCTATCCCCAAACTATTCTATACGATCAACCTCGATTGTGCGCAGAAGTTGAATCTTCTTTTTTTGTGCTCGCACTGCAGTTTGGATTTGGCCAGTCCAATCCGACATACCTTCTCACCGATGCGAAATCCCAACGATATGTGCTGCGAAAGAAGCCACCGGGCGAGATCATATCCAAAACGGCGCATCAAGTGGAGCGAGAATATCGTATTCTATACGCACTTCAGAACACCGAAGTTCCAGTACCCAAAGTCTACATTTTATGCGAAGATTCGACGGTCATCGGCACCGCGTTCTACATTATGGAGTTCTTAGACGGTCGGTTTATCACCGATCCTTACATGCCGGGAGTGACGGCTGAGCATCGTAAGGAAATGTAAGCATTCAAGGTTGTGAAGATTTACTTCCATCAGCTGACGGTCAATAGGTGGAGGGATGCGGTAAAAACGTTGGTCAAACTGCATACGCTCGACTATAATGCAGTCGGCCTAGGGAAGCTGGGCAGGCATAATAACTTCTATGATCGCCAAATCCGAACCTTTACAGGGATAGCAGAACGGCAATCAAAGGCAGTGAATGCCAAAACGAATGTCCCCCTTGGAGATCTTCCACACCTGGAGGAAATTTCCCGCTTTTTCAAGACCAACCAGCCCAAGGATCGCTCTAGCATCGTTCACGGGGACTTCAAGATCGATAATATCGTCTTTCACAAAACAGAGCCCAAGGTAATTGGTGTCTTAGACTGGGAGATGGCTACCATCGGGCATCCTTTATCAGATATCGTTCACCTTCTGTCTCCGATCTTCCAAGAATCGGGACCAGGTGCGCCGACACTCCGTGACGGAACTAGTCATTCTATCCCCGGTCTTCCCAGTCTCGAGGAGTCTCTGAGATGGTATCAAGAATCGGGATACGAGGCTAGGCCGGACCTGGACTGGGGTATTGCATTCGCTCATTTTCGAGGTTGTGTCATCGCACAAGGGATAGCAGCAAGATACGTGACAGGCCAATCGAAGAGTCCGGGCGCGAAAGAATGGGCGGACAGCCTTGATTTAAGAGCACAAATCATGTGGGAAACAGTCAAGAAGCTACGTGACAGTCATATCCGAGAAAAGAAGCTGTAAATACCTTTGTTGGTGCTCGCTAGAGACTTCACGAAGCAACGAGCGGTTCTGTTGATATCCGGAGCGTCCTTCAGTCCAGCTATTAGTTCCGTAGCACCGAGAATTCACTCGAAAGTCCATACGCACATGTTTTTGTAGCAGTCGTAGATGCAGATGGTGTCAAACCGACCATAGAATCCCAACAGTGAAGCAATGCCAAAGGTTGATATGCTTGGTTCAAACCAAGTGGAGGAGCCGAGCGGCCGATCCGAGACCGTGGTAGGGCTGCGGGGTTGAATCCACATCATGAGGAGTGGAGCCTGGGGTAGAAAAGGATATCCACCACAACACATTGAGTTATAACTCACCAGTATGATTACGAAAGCTCCTGGAACCACAACGCAAACACAACACAGACGAAAAAGAAGATCAGAACACCTTGTTCCAACATGAATTTTGATCTGCCTCCCCCCTTACTCGCCCACCTTGACTCCCTCGACAAGTTCATCCACTCGACCATCCTCCCCCTCCAACATTCTGAAGACAATAACCGTTTTTTCGATCATCGCCGCGAATATGCCCGAACGGATTGGGCTAAGGGCGGTCTTCCCTCTCAAGAATGGGAGGACTTACTAGGTGCACCACCCTCACCAATCCTACCAATGCGTGTCTCTAGCCCAACTACCCTCAGCCAGAATAAGGTGCTTACGAAAAAACAGGCAAAGCTCGCCATCTCGCCGACAAAGCCGGCTTCTTTCGCTTTGCCCTCCCCAAGATCTACGGGGGACAAGGTCACCCGGACACGAACCTATGGATGTCGGCCACGCGCTTCCACCTGGCCTCGAACCCGGTGTACGGCGGCGGCCTAGGGCTCGCCAATGACCTACAGAACGAACACAGCGTCATCGGGAATTTCCCAGATGTCCTCATGCTCCACCACTTCGGCACGGCAGAGCAAAAACGCACTCTCATCCCCGCACGACTCCGCGGAGAATTCCGTACCACGTTCGGTCTCACCGAACCCGACCATGGCAGCGACGCGACCTTCATGTCAACAAGGGCGACACGCGCCCGCGGCGGGTTCCAAATCAACGGCGCAAAGAAGTGGCAGACGGGCGCCCATCACTGCACGCATATGATCGTCTTCGCGAGAACCTCCGGTAAGGATGGATCCGCCAAGGGCATCACGGCATTCCTGGTTCCGCGGGAGACAGAAGGGATTGAGATCGCAAGCTACGAGTGGACGTTTAACATGCCCACGGACCACGCGACAGTGACTCTGAACGGGGTGTGGGTGCCTGACTCGGCGGTGCTGGGGGCCGTCGACCAGGGGTTGGCGATTGCGCAGACCTTTGTGCATGAGAATCGCATCCGACAGGCCGCCAGCTCATGCGGTGCGGCCAAATTCTGTCTGGAGCGGGCGATTGAGCGCGCACGGACTCGGACGGTCTGGGGCGAGGGGAAGAAGTTGGCAGATCACCAGGCAGTGCAGTTTCCGGTGGTGGAGCTCATGACGCAGGTGGAGATGCTGCGGTTGTTGATTCTCAAGACGAGCTGGGACATGGATCGGGTGGTGGCTGAATCGACGGACCAGGCGTGGATTGCGATCGAGAAGCAACTGAGTGATAAGGTGGCCATGTGCAATTTCTGGGCCAATCGGCTATGTTGTCAGGCCGCCGATCGAGCTATTCAGGTAGCGTTTCTCCTTGGTTTTGATCTTGATTGGTTGTAGGTGAAGCTGACCTGATAGATTCATGGTGGTGATGGTTACTCACGCCACTATCCGTTCGAGCACATCTATCGACATTTCCGTCGGTATCGTATCACCGAGGGTGCAGAAGAGATCCAGATGCGCAAGGTCGCCGCGTATTTGTTTGGATTTGGGGGGAAAGCTGGACGTGAAAAAGCGAGGACGAAGCTCTAGATATAATTTCACTTCCGGTATCTGTTCTATACCCTTTACTCAGTCAAGTCTACCCCGACTTGGTTTTGGTCTGTTTGTAATACTTCTGCCTGCTCCTGTAGCCCTGCGCCTATAAGTAAAACATCTTTTGATGGTGTCTGTCCATTCTCGTATCAACATATAGAGCCACCACATCAAAATCTGTGTTGTCACTTATGGGTCACTTGCATGGCGTCAGTAGTATCTCAAGTCGAAAGTATAATGTTTCGATGTTAGCAAAAGCCAAGAGTGGACTCCGTACAAGACGGTTGCAGAATAAACATAGTATCAGTAGGACAATTAGTATCTCAACTTTACGTCTCTTGAGCAAGGAATGCACACCCGATGTCTCTCTTAGATCGACTGACATTCTCATATATTTTATTCACAATGGGGACTCGGTGTTCTTATGAGTTCCACGTATTTTGGAGTACATGATCTAAAACTCACCTCTGCGGTCATTATAGTTGGCAAAACTGTTGGACAATCAGCCCTTTACAGCTCGTGATTTTAAAAGGTCTCGACATTCTTCGAGCTTCCTACCCTTTCCCCGTATCTGAGAAGGAACTTGCCCATTACTGACCTAGTGGCGTGGAGAGCAGGATAGAAGCAGTCAGCGGATACTGGAAACCATACGAACAATTCGTCTAAACTGCTATGTCCATTCGTTTATACGAATTGCTTTGAGGCACAGCTACTTAGAAGGACTTTCGATACCGTCATATATAATAATAGTTGGCCCAGTAAGTACACTTTTCATTCAACAATCTCTATCCGCGAAACAGTTAATCGTCAACATGACTGATGCCATGATTCTGACGCAGCTGGTCTTAGATTTGGCAGGCTGAGGCATGGATTTCATAGTTTTGATTGATGCCCCAGGTTGGTGCGTTCAACAAATGGGAAGCCTCCGCCGATAGGCATCTTCCAAAGCGGTAGGCTCACGTGTAGCGCTGACCCTCAGCGTCTACTAAGCAAGCTTGAAGTTAATAAATTCCGGTTGTTCCGAGTGAGTTCCCGGAGAATCGAGATTGCCGGCGAGATCTGACATTCATCAGCTGACCTGAAGAAGAGCAGTACCTTAACTAAGACTTGGCCCTATTAATCACGGATTCACGGACGCTTGACCCCGCGAGATATCGGTTAATTGTCAAAAAGCCGTGGCTCACATATCATTGGCCGCCCACCGGAATATTTTGGGCGCGTGATCAATGTCTTATCACATGACCGATTCGATTTAGGGCTTCTTGCTTTTTATTCTCAGGGCCAACCCAAGCTTTCCTTATTAAATTAAGCATTCGATCAAGCATTGGATGGAGCAATCGAGTTGCTTACACTACAACGTTGGATCCCGTGTCGAGTCCGGCATTGAACTGAGCATCGATAACCATCGAAGCCAATACCAAATTGTACATTCATATCAACCGTGTGAATACGTGATGACTACGTTCGTTCTGTTCCATGTACTAAAGCCCCTGGTAGCCCTGGCGACTATTATGCGGGGTGTATTCGAAAGGGCCTAGATCAACCCCTCTGGATAGGCCCGTCAATCGGCAGCGTTGCAAGAAGAGAGTCTCAATAGTCTTAGAGGTGGAATAAAACGACCCCATCGAACCAAACCCCAATCCGCCATAGAGCCTGACCTTCAAATTCCCCGCAAATAGCTCGGACTCATATTGATGTGTGTAATGTAGTATCCACTCGACTCTACCCAAATCAAAAGAAAAGAAAATACACAAGAAAGCGATACAACCAGTACATTGGAAGACGTAGTCAGATAGTCGCTATGAGCAATTACGAAATGATTTTCTTTGCATGAAGCGACATGCCGAATGTCCTGAATAGTGCAAAACTCGCCCAGATACATTTCTTATATGCCAGTCTACCCCAAGCGGGGGATGTGCGCCGATCGTCATTTACACAGCCCGCTTAAAGGAGTGCCTCTACACCCTAGTCTTGCTCCGTAATAAACTATCTGCCTCTCTCCATAGACAAACAAATTAACCGACGCTTTAGCTAGTACTGCCGGCTCCGCAGGAATGCACGGACTTGTTGACTGCCCCTTCTCCGCACATTCGCACCCTTAAACAACCAAAGCTTGCAGGTTCTAGATATGTGTTGTTGCTCTTGAAGCCATAGTGAGTTACGTCGTCTAATACGTTTTCTAATGACCGCTCTGAGCAACATAACTGGGCGAAACTTTCAGCGTAACCTTTCCTGTACAGAGCCGACGATGTTTGGCAGAAAGGCTTTATCGCATGTCAGCGCTCATATGGTCTTAGAAGTTCTGTCACAAGTTTTCAATAAATTCTGGTGTTAATATTAACCGAGTTTCGAAAGACTGAAATCCGTGATATTATTGACGAAACAGAGCACAATGGATCTTGATCATTGGAGGAAAATCCTGGCTACTTTAGTACATAACGCGTACCCCTCTTGATTTAGGGAACGGACATCTTTGAAAGAATATAAAAGGATACGCGGGATGCGCTGATTACCCTACGATATACTTGCTCCAAACCAGTGTCTCATTGAGCATCCCATTGCCTGTTTTTAAAGCAGTCACAGGCGTGACCGTCTCATCGTGGAAAGGAGATCAAACATGTCCCCAGGACGAAGTCTCGAACGCGCCAGCGCAGTGGCTCTGGGCCTCGTTGCCTCGGCCTCCCTGGTGGCTGCTGGGCCCTGTGACATTTATTCCTCCGGCGGCACGCCCTGTGTCGCTGCGCACAGCACCACTCGGGCCCTATACAGCAGCTACACCGGCCCACTGTATCAAGTGAAACGTGGCTCTGACGGTACCACGACGGACATCTCCCCTCTCGCCGCCGGAGGTGTTGCCAATGCCTCCGCCCAAGACTCCTTCTGTGCCGGCACGACCTGCCTGATCACGATCATTTATGACCAGTCGGGTCGCGATAATCATCTCACCCAGGCCCCACCGGGCGGCTTTAAGGGTCCGGAATCCAATGGCTACGACAACCTGGCGAGCGCGGTGGGTGCACCAGTCACCCTGAATGGTCACAAGGCGTATGGCATCTTTATGTCGCCTGGCACCGGATATAGCAACAATGCTGCCAGTGGCACAGCTACCGGTGACGAGGCGGAAGGCATGTACGCGGTCCTGGATGGCACTCACTACAACGGTGCCTGCTGCTTCGACTACGGTAATGCCGAGATCAGCAGCACAGATACGGGTAATGGCCACATGGAGGCTATCTACTATGGCGACAACACCGTCTGGGGAAGTGGCGCTGGCAGTGGTCCTTGGATTATGGCCGATCTCGAGAACGGCCTGTTCTCTGGCTCCAGTCCTGCTAACAACGCTGGCGACCCATCCATTTCCTACCGGTTCGTCACTGCGGTCGTCAAGGGGGAGGCGAACCAGTGGTCGATTCGCGGTGCAAACGCTGCATCCGGCGCACTATCGACGTACTATAGTGGCACGCGCCCAAGTGCTTCTGGTTACAATCCAATGAGCAAAGAAGGCGCCATCATTCTTGGGATCGGTGGTGACAATAGCAATGGTGCCCAGGGCACATTCTGCGAGGGTGTGATGACCTCCGGATATCCGTCCGATGCCACTGAGAACTCGGTGCAGGCGGATATCGTAGCTGCCAAATACGCCGTCACATCACTGACCAGTGGTCCGGCGCTCACTGTCGGATCCTCAGTCTCGCTGCAAGCCACAACAGCCGGCTACACGACTCGCTACATCGCACACGACGGCTCTACGGTCAACACCCAGGTTGTCTCGTCGACAAGCACCACCGCCTTGAAACAACAGGCTAGCTGGACCGTTCGCACGGGCCTGGCTAATAGTGCCTGTTTTTCGTTTGAGTCTGTCGACACTCCTGGCAGCTTCATCCGGCACTACAACTTCGCGCTCCTCCTCAATGCCAACGATGGCACGAAGCAGTTTCACGAAGACGCCACGTTCTGCCCACAGGCCGGTCTCAATGGCAAGGGCAATTCGGTTCGATCCTGGAGCTATCCCACACGCTACTTTCGCCACTACGAAAACGTTCTTTACGCCGCGAGTAACGGTGGCGTTCAGACATTCGACGCGACCACCTCATTCAACGATGACGTGAGCTGGGTGGTCAGCACCGGCTTCGCTTAATTCCTAGTCCAATCTCGAGGCATTTTGTCGATGTGAACTCTACCTCTATTGATTGTTCCTCTGTAAAATGTCAGTAAAGAGCGAGGTAGATGATAGACCACGGCATTCCTGTCTTACTATCTACCTTGCCACCAGCCTTTTCTATATCTAGTCAACCCCTTTTGTATGGTGAACCCAAATATAGCTCATAGTGTTAACAAGCAATAATTTCTTCAGACTTGTAGCCACCAGACCGTTGAGGACGCAATAGAGATTATACTGTTATTATTGATGTAAATTTAGCGGACCTTGGAGGTTCAACATCGTGAGGTAACTAATAAGGCCTGTTCATGACCCTTGGTCAGCGGGCTCACTTTTTGCCGCAACAAGGACCGGCACGAGATGACTATGGCTTAGATTCCGGCGATCAGATGGAAGGGCGAATCTGAAAAGGCTAAGGCATCAAAAGCCAGAGATTATGGTTCTCATCCCTGATCAACTCTGTAACCATGTCGAGTTGGCTGCATGCTTTGCTCTCCACCTCTTTCAGATACCATCCAAAGTACGGCAGAATTTCCCACTACTCCATGTAGTTCCACATGATGTCAGTGTTCATTCATTGAAGCAGGTTCAACTCCAGCTCAGGTTGCACCCTATCCCAAGCCGATTTGAGAACACGGCCCGTTGCCTGGTCGTCAACCGATTTTATCCCATTCTATCGGACTGATCATCACTAAGGGGTTCGCCTCCGGCAAACATTTAGTTTGTTTTCCTGTGAAAATATGGAACATTGACCCAACCACGTTCATGAGTGTCATCGCCTCTCGTTCAGCCAAGATCCACTTGGATCATTACGGCATCTCCAGACAGCCCTTAATAAAAGTCCAATCGTTGATAACCCAGTAAATCGCCAATGAGTATTGGATCTGGGTTGTCCTAGATACATCCCTTACATCTGATCAACGACGACTCGCGATGGGCCTTGTTGGGTATTGATATTGCTTGGGGCAGGTTGTATATCTAATGAACTAATCAACAGCCGTCACTTTGTTTGCGCAATGCGCACAAGGTGTCATACTATACAGATTTAAATAAAATGTGTGTATGGACAAATGTGATACTAGGTATTTATACCAGTTGAAGTATACATTCTAAACCTCCAGTTGTAGGCAACCTGTAACTAATAATTTCCGGATCCAAATAGAGAACCAGGAGGAAAGTCGTTGTATCATATCATCTAACCAAGCTATAATAACCTTCGTTGCCTTGCTCAACGCCGTCGGTCCAAAAGCCCATAATATCCCAATCCCGTCAAGAAACAAACAAAGCCAATAGGAACCATAGGAGATCGAAAAGACAACGTCATGCTCGTCAGTCGTTATTCTTCTCGTCAAAACAGACACACAGGGCTGCGATCAGCGCCAGATCCACCCCTGGAGCAACGATCACGGCATAGGTCTGCTGGTGGAAGAATATCTGACGAGCGTTGAACCGCTTGCGATCGATCTGGGCCACCACTGCCCCCGTCGCATCGTCCACAATGCTCGCCTTACGAGACCGCCAGTTCCCCTTCATATTCAAGGACACAAGGCTGTCAGTACTGGGGGGTGTAAAGGTTGCGGTAGCATTGGAGCCGATCACTGTAAGTGACTATTAGCCAAAAGGTAAGATACAATGGAGAGATGAAGTTAACGCCGCTGAAAGCCGCAATGGGAAGTCCACCTACAGGAAAGGCTACTTTTGACCTCGAGTAACTTGCTGCCATCTAGAGCGTGAATAGCGTAGGTGGAGTGGAGGTGCAGATGCTCCTTGACGATATCAAACAAGTGATTGCCCGCCATATCGAAGACAGATTTACGACCCGAAATACTCAGTGGCTTGCCTTTGATCCGAAAGATAGGTTCGCCACTAACCAGCCTCACATCAAAGCTATCCCCCGAGAGGGAGAGGACCTTTTCCTTCAGAACCAGGACCTCGGATTGTTGCGCAATGAATTGATCCATGATCGCGACCGGAGTCGGGACTGGAGGGAGTTGCAGGGAGGCCATTCCAATTGAGGGGATTAGGGGGCTATCTTGATCTGGGGAGATTCTTTTGGAGCTTCAATTCTGGACTGCAGAACTGAGAAGAACGATTTGAACTATCCCCTGGCATTTATAGTGGGAGAGCATGACTACACTCCGCCTCAATAGATATCCAAGCTAACACCGAAGCATGAATAGAGGTGGGGGCGAATATCAAGGCTTGGTAACAATCCGCATGGTACTAACCCTTATTCGGGGCCCAAGACGCGATACTAAGTCACTAGCTAACGAGGCTGAGCCTCAGATCTGTGCCTTCGCGACCCACTATTGGTCTCTGAGAAATCTTACTGCTTCCATTGCTGACATCTTCGTGGATTGTTGAATTTGTGGCACTCGTCGTCCTCCTCCATTCGAAATACATTATCTCTCTAATCCATTAATCGCCATGGATCAAATTAACCTGAGAATTGAAACTCCCACCCCTCATGACTTCGAAGCTCCAATCCACGCTATCATCCATGCAGCCATCCAACCTACCAACGCCTCCTCTGCCAAAGATGTAGCTCTCGCCCTCGACATGGTCTACTTGGATTATATAAAAAAGCCAGGCATGAGCCCAGCGGGCGTCCTCACCTGTTTCTGGGAGTTAATAAATAGTTTCGCTAGCCAGATACCTTATGAGAGCCCGGCACAAGAGAAATTAGTCGCCATCGTGCAGGAGCTGGCGGGCGTTACCTCGACGGAGACTATCCTCAACGAGAAACTGTGGAAGGGCCTTCCCTATTTTACGTCTGAGTTTCCGCAAACCTGGGAGGGTGGGTTCTTCTCTTATTGCTTTCCGATCATGTTGGAGCCTTGCAGGAGCTAAACGACTGCTAGCGATGAGTCCCGATGCAGATGATGACGAGAAGAAACAACGGTTCGTCAATTTCCAGGCTTATGCGGCTCGGATCCTTGGGCTGGGTCTCTCGCAACAACTCGAAACGTATGCCATCTGGGCCTTATCAGATGTAGCAGAGGGAGCCATGATTCCTGTGCGGGGCAGTCCCGATGTTGTTTCGGCAGATCCGAAGGACGTCGATCAATTGCCGTTTAAAGCGGCGGCGGCGGGGATGTGGATTCTTTATGCTGGTCACGCTCTATACGGACGGGATGAAGCCATTTGGGGCACCCAGGGAGGCCCGCTGTGGATGCTGCCCAAAGTCGAGAGGAAGAAGTTGAGGAGGAAATTCAGAGGTACCCAGGGATTGTGCCTGGATCGGTGGTTACTGTGGAAGCAGCAGTTTAGGGCTATTCGGGATTGTGGATCTGCCGATGCGGAGACCAGGAGAATTGCAGGCAATGTTGTTGAGACGATGAATAGGGTTGAGGGTCATAACTGAGACGTTGCACTTGAGGACGATAACATCCATTGTTCAGATCAGACTTCCAAGTCTCTAATTGCTCAGTACGTACAATATAGTTTGGGCTGTCTAATAGCCATTCCCTGCGCTTTTACCGTACTTCCCGTCTTGCCCATGTCCTTCGTGACCATGTTTCTTCGCCACAACCATTTGATCCGAATGCAGTGACACTCCCGCCTCGGTCACAATCGTATCCAATGCATCGCGCTTCAGAAACATCATCTCGCAGTGGTTGATATGAGCAAGATTATTATACCGAGCTTCAATCACTGTACCCGCCTCCGCAGCTAAGAACATCTTCTTCCAATAGTATGCGCAATGGACCAGGTGCCACTGATGTGTGGTAAAGAAGTGCGATCCAGTCTTGGGGAGCATAGACACTTCTTCAAGTGATAGGGTCCGCGTCTTGTTTTTATCCGCATAGTACATCCAGCTCCCGTCGGGGTTTGGGCCGGATGTTTCGAATTGCTCTAAGAGCTCGTCATTTCGACAGGCGGGAGGGAGCCAAGCCGCTGCAATCGAGTCATATCTACAGCTGTTGGCGATGGCTTCTTCAACCGTCTCTCCACAGTTACAGGATATGGGCTTGCGTGATTGGATCCAGGTGTATGCTCGGTATGTCAAATCAACGAAGCCGAATGTCGCCAATAGTAACAGGAAGGCATATCGGACACGAAACACCAGCTTCCGATCATGATTCTTTATTTCGGAGGCTGCGTGGTGATCTTCGAGATGCTCAAAGCCATCCGAGCTATCCTCCTCCGCCAGGCGCTTGTATTTGGTCATTTCTCAGGGCAAATGAGTTTTCTTCAACAAGGATATCTCGGGAAAGGTTAACCCCGTGTGTTGCGATGGGGTTGTGGTAGTCACACTGAGGCAACTTCGGACGGAGATATCGTCCTAAACACCAAGGGCTCCGGTAGAATGGAATAAGCAGATTTAGAAAGAACCCCTACACCATTCGAATTGAATATATGCACCCCGCTCGGGTGAAAGCCCTATACAACTCCGTCCTTGTCCCGCCCCCAAACAAGGAAATGAATCCTTCTCAGAGAACCCCGACGTTACATTGCAGGATCCGATGGGTACCGATGTATGCCGGTTTTTCAGTAATGTGCCCAATCATGGTCAAACTGTGTCTGTAGCTAACCTGCGGAAGTAGGCACTAGGTCATGGAGGCAGGCTACTGCCAAGTAAGAGAGAGCTGCCGGTCATGGCCCGGTGCAAGACTACTAGGGCTCCGGAGAACTAGATGTTCCTCAGAGTAGTGGATACTGAGTCCGCCCATATAATGCGGGGTTTGGTTCAGTCTAATTAGACCGCGTTCTATTAATCTAGCATTACTTGGTGGGTTTGAGAAACGGCGAGAAGTACCTCGGATACTAAATTCCATTACAGGGATGGTGCAGCATTTGGCGTGGATGGGGTACGACCTCTAAGAGACCTGCAGAATAGCGGACTATTCGGGAGATTTTCAATTGACGTTATGTTAAGCATACACAAAGCCAGTCAGAGTGCATTGCACTTGTGATAATAGCAGCGACTACTGATAGAAGGGGATGGCCTCACTCTCCTCGTCCCGCTTTTCATAGAAAGGAATAGCTTCGCTGTTGTCCGCACGACGCTGGTAGAACGGTATAGCCTCACTGTTGTCCGCACGACGCTGGTAGAACGGAATAGCTTCGCTGTTGTCCGCACGACGCTGGTAGAAAGGTATAGCCTCACTATTTTCCTCCCGCTTCTCATAGAATGGTATCGCTTCGCTATCCCCCGCACGCTTTTCGTAAAACGGGATGGCTTCACTGTTATCGGTACGCTTTTCGTAGAATGGAATTGCCTCGTTGTCCGGACCAACTACATCACTCACTGTCAGCACAAGAATAATTCCTTTGACGGTTGTTCATACGTATGGGGGAAGTATAAGCCAAGGGGGCTCCAAGGGCCAGGAGTGCGACAATGATGTTAAACTGCATGGTGGTGGATGATTTTGAAGGCAAATGTCTCAATGCGGGTTGAAAAGGGCACAACAATGGGTTACAGACGATGATACGGATGTATCCTCCAGTGTCTATCGACAGGATTTATATGCGAGCTGCTACCAGATCTGGGACGTGTGCTGGAGCCGAGCGACGTATAATTTGTGCGTCGGTTCGAAATCTAGATTCAGCGTTCGACATCATGAACGGGGTCACACGGATGATAATACTAGGGAAGGATTATACTGCTTTGCTCTAATGGGTTAGCATCCATGGTCAGAATATAGCGGATGTAACATGGATGAGAATTTGGTGTATCCTATAAGCTGGGACATCCGAATAACAGTCTCATGCCCCCATGAAGGATCTATATCTCCTCTTCGCCAAGTTTGCCAAGGGCTGTTGTCGCGGAATCCCGACGGACTCGCCGCATCAGGGTTTGTTCTCTCAACCCCTTCCGGCTGCGTTGGGTTGCGATAGTTCCGCCATCATGCACCACTTGAATCTGACATCATTTGTATCTTGGTCTAGCTAGCTCTTCCAGGCCTCCAATCCCTGCGTAAACTGCTTCCGCGATAACGTGACCGGTACCGAAGCACAGTCTTATTCGCAGCAGCCATTGTTCCGCACATCTCGTATACCCATTTCACCTACCTGAACAGCTCTACCATCGACCACTCTTGATATATCCTGTGTTTTGTATTGTTTACCCGACTATAATATGTCGAAGGCTCAAGATGGTCTCGACGACTTCGATGATGGCTTTCGTACCGGCTTGAGTCCTGAGGATCTCACGAAACCACTCCTAATTAGCAATGACAATGCTGGTCAACAGGGCCCTGGCCCAGCGAGGCGGATAACGAGGGCTGCACCACGGGCATCTCCGCAGGGCAACACCATTATGCTATGGCTCACCTTTCTCAACCTGGTCTTGCTCATGACCTCTGTTATTCTCTTGATCTTGGTCTTATCGCGCCAGGCCAGCGTCCCGCACTTGAGCGATCAAGACCAGTGGAAGGCAACATCTCATTACGGTAATGCTCAATGAATCTTCGCCACCGGCTCCCCGTAACACTGACCCTTTCAGCACCTCTACTGGACCGTGTGGATCTTCCACGAGTTACCATAACCCCAAATGCATCCTTGTACGACACGGATCCGCCTTCCATTCTGCGAATTCCGACCGGGCCTGAAGCCGACGCCGAATGGTTCCGCATCGGCACCGGTGTCATGCCGATTATCATATCCTCCGATGAAATCTACAAACTCGGAAAGGATCCCTCTGTGGCCGTGAAGATTCCCGAAGAGCATGGATACGGTGACGATGCATATATCGCACAGACGGAAGTGTTCCACCTCCTTCACTGCCTAGACATGTTGCGGAAGGAGATCTCCTACGACCATTACTATTTCGCTCGGTTTGGCAACCATCCGGACGCGGAACATGTCGCACATATTGGCCATTGTATCGATATTCTGGCACAAACCATCAAATGTTCCAGTAGCGTTGACGTGATCCTTTTCAACTGGGTCGAGGGATGGGATCAGCCGTTCCCTGATTTCAGCAATCAGCATGTGTGTCGGGACTTTGAGACGCTTCTGGGATATGTGACTGAGAACTCGGTGCCACGCTCCGTGTGGAAGACAATGAAAGAACCACCTGCGGGCTATGTGCGTCTGCCGGAACCTGCACCGGCACGACCAGCTGAATCCGATACGGATCCATGATTTCATGTGCCTTTGATAGACCATTAATGATCCATTACCTCTACTAGCCGCTGTCTCTGGTATCACCCGTGCTCGCTAACCCTTATGGACACACAGGATGCTGATGTTACCTCGCATATTTGGGATACCAACAGATCCAGAAGTAAATTTAATCCAGAGTGAAGTTCCCGGAGCGTAAAGAGTGTTTCTATTCGCTGGTTTGATCCCATGAAAGCATTCAATCTCATAGTAATTTCCTTTTTTTTAATTTATTTATTTATTCTTCTTGTTTTGGTTACTTTGGGCGGGTTGGAGAGGGTCATTCATGGTTGAGGTATTGTTCGGGCTTGAGATAAGATATATTTAGCTGAAGCCACAGAGGGGAATCTTTACCGTCAATTCGAGCAGCGGCAGTCTTCAAGGGGATTAGATCGAGTTCCTAGACATTTTCTAGGGCTCAGGCAATGTCAGCGGATTTTTATTTCTTACCTTCTAATTTTTAATTTTTTTTTTTTTTCTTTTGCAAGTCAAAGATTAGCAAAGGGGAAGAAAGTGTTGAGGGAAGACAGTCATTGTCTCTATGTAAGTCCGTACTTAGGGCAAACTAGTACATACGACCACAGGGTGTGGAAAACAGGGCTTCCCGTCCGCTCAGCCGTACTTAAGCCAACTGTGTAAGCTCGGCCAAAGGACAGTGGCGCCCTCTGGGGCTCGCTGCTTTACGGGTGAGCGACGCTAAGTTGTAGGGTGAGTGCGGGTGAGCTGGGTGATCCTGTTCAGAACATGGGTGAGCCGGGTGAGCTGGGTGAGCTAGATGATTTAGTGCAGGCTCAATCGCACATTGAGCTATCCTAGTGTCTCCATCATATGAAATAAATAGGGAGGGTTTCTTTTGCGCTTCGTTAAAGATTTTATTCTCTCTTCCAATCTTTTCCTGACTTTGCCCTGGTGTTATCATCTACATCTGCCGATACCACGTGACAACATGTCGGATATATCTAAAGAAGAGCAACGACGACGAAAGGTAGAGGAGCTTCGCAAGCTCGGCGAGTTACGCGGCTTCACTGAAGAGTACCAACAAGAGCAGGGGAATAAAGAAAACAGGGTTTGCCATAAGCAACGGGCTCCAGCTACTGATCAAAGATATGATCTGGCCGTCGAAAGGTGGAAGATGTAAATATATTTAATCTCCGTTCCTTGCATGGATGACTAATCATCACAGGTGGATGTTGTCTCGAAATGAATCCGAAGACAGGTACTTTACAAAGGAGGAACCTGACCCTCCTAACCAGATTTTAAAGCTTTTCTCGGAGAGTTATATTGCTCAACGCAAAGGAAACCTCCCATCGCAGCATTCAGTGTGCCATAATCTTTCCTGCTTTATTGGCGAATGGGAGAAAAACACCTGTCGAAAATTGCCGAATAATGTCAAGGACGATGTCTATAATGTCTGTGCTCCCCTACATCCTTCAAATGGCTCCGAACTGATTGAATTGGATATTCAAAGTATATTCGGACTGAATTGACACAAAAATATGGATTGGAGACAAAACACCGAGAGAGATTCCTGGTGACCGCTAGGGATCTTGATCTACTTCTTAGACATCTCTTTGAAGAAGATGGTCATGATTATGTCCACGAGCGCTATAGATTCCAGGAAGCATTTGCTCTCTCATTATTTTCTAACTCTGGTGCTAGAGCTGGCGCTATTGTTGAGTCTAGTGCTTACCGAGGTAGTAATGAAAGCCTCTACTATAAGGTATGTCGGCGGAATATAGTGGCTTTAGCTAATCTATATACTTACCTCTACTTGAAGCATCTAAGTTTTAATCTCCAATGGGGGTCAGACAAAAGGATCAAATACTGGGTCACAATAGATCCCGAGTTCCTTAAAGGGCATCGTTATGATGAGAAGCTGGTGTAAGTGCTCCCAGTACTTTCAGTGTGATCTACAATTGATAAAAACATAAATAGTCCAAAAACTTGGATTCGTGAGCAGGAAGTCCTTGGAAGGAATTTTGCCTTCTATGTTATCGTTGCAGGTATTGTGGATAAGGCTTTCAAGGGAATACGGACCATTGATGAGTTACTGGCAAGGACTCCTCCGAAAGGACGAGAATCATGGACCCTTCAGTGGGAGGACAGGGCCCAAAACCTGCCTGTGCTTCGTATGGTGACAAGTAGAGGGGTTGACCCTACACGCGCATTAACCTTTTCGTCGATACGTCATGGGTTCATGTCTTTAGCACAACGCGCCTGTTTTCAAGACCCTTTAAGGATCCACGGAATAAGAGGCAGTGTTGCAAATGCGGTTGACTGTATGGCCTTTTACAGCATATATTTGGTATATGAGCTAAATGTGTTACAGTGAAGGCATCTGAAGCCACCCGGAGCCAAGCGTTGGATCACCAGAACCCCGATACATATCTAAAATACCAGTCAAAATATAAGCGTGTCGACATACAAGCTAGCTTTTGGAATTTGGAGCCCGATTATGAATGCCTCCACACTGAAGAAAGCATGAGCCACCACCGTGATCCTAACGTTCCTCAAAGGCTTGATGCCGCCGCTACTGCTGAAGTCGAGAATGACGAAGAAATGATCGAGTTATACCGCAGAATTGATGACTTGACGAATACAATAGGTAAAAGGCCACATGAACATGATGACTTGGTGAATGAACGTGCAAAACTTTACAACAAGGCTGCAAAGAAACGCCGCAATAAAAAGAAAGAATTTATTGCCAATTGGTGGAACACTAGCTACGATGAGTATATTGCCGGAAATGAATTCACAGAGCGGGACCAGACATGCATTTTTAATATCTGCCGAAAGTACATGCCAGAGAGAGATCGCCTACGGGATAACCTGTTTACCAAAGCATCTCTGGGCAGCAAAATAGGACGGCAATGCTTACAGGACATGGTTAAACTTTGTACCTCAGATGAGAAGGTTGCGTATTATCCGGGGGAGACACCGATTGATGGAAGGTGCCCAGTGTGCCAGAAAGACATGTCAAGGTATGTCATAATTGCCGAGAATATATGTTAATACTGATCATAATAGTTTTGGTGATCTTAAAGCTCGTTCGAAACATATTCTGCAATGCCGGAGGAAATCCCTTAACGCTGCACCGTACCAGCAACGGTACCAAAACGGAAAGAGGGCACACCGGAGAGCTCCTCGATCTTTTCTCGAATGGTGTTATTTATGTGCCCAGTGGTTTCGTACAGAGGAAGATTGGCAAGAACACTGTCGCTTCCACTTGGATCATCTAGAACCACGTTGTGGACCAATGACATTCCGATACACAATGGTAGCTCCTGGATTCTGTCCGTTCTGCTTAGGCGACGAGTCTAAAAAGCCTGAAGAGCGGTTCCAACAATGGCGTGTAAAGTCCACCCTAATCAACCACATTGACAGCCAACATCTATCTGGGAAAAGAAAAGGCGACCTAATTGAATGCCCCCATCCCTGTTGTTTAAATAAGTTTTATGAAGGCCCTTCGCGTCTGCGCCGTCACTTTTTTGATGCACATTCAATTGAAGAGCCACGTCGCAACTGTGTCTCCGTGAAGAGGAAATGGATCCATGACACTGATGATATCGGGCACCAGCAAATGAAAAAGGTCTTGAAAGCAGACGAGAAGCACCCAGACCCAGTTCATTTACTGACGCCAGCTTCAACACCACCTACTCTCAAAGTTGAATTTCATATAGAGAAGGAACATTA